ATGATGTGTGATGTCCCCATGGTTAATGATGTGTGGTGTCTTCATGGTTCACTCATAAGTTTATGGATAGAGTGATAAAGAGAAATGTGGACAGGGGTGACTGGTTCAGGAGCAAAACAGGAAAAGGAAGGTAGGGTGTGGCTGTCCTTATGGTGGATGATGCAATGTTTTTCTTGAGAAGACTAAACAAGAGTTGTTAAAGTTGGTGAAGAACTCATGAGTCCATAATAAAAGGAAATGTAAAGAAAAATACTAAAAGAAGTAAGGACAAAGTTTGAATTGTGAATCAAAATTTAAATTATGATGTAACATGAAGAGTGAAGGAGGTTAAAGACTTAAAGAATTTGGGAGTAATGATATGGTAGAATAGTGTAATGGAAAGTGAGATTTGAAGTGAGAAAAATACATTGGGGGAGGGGGAAGGTGGTTGGAGAACTGGGAATTATCAAGGGACAGAATGTAAGCTTGGAGGCAAAGATGGAACTCAAGACAGTTTTTTGCTTCCAAACTTTAACTTATGGTAGTGATGCTTGGGCTTGAGAATGACCTGATACTTAGGTTACAGAAGTGAGATCCTCGAGAGCTGCGTCTGTGGTTACCAGAATCAAAGGATGTTTGGAGGTGCAGAAGATGTATACTACCGAGTGGTGGATAGATTAAGTGAGGTGATATGGATAGTTGAGAAGGATACAAGAGAATAGGATAGTAGAGAGGGAATGTAGCAGGTTGTACTAAGTAATGGGAGACCACCTACATCAGGGAGAGAAAGTTAGAGCATACATACAGGAGAGAATAGGGGGCAAAGAAGGTATTTAGTGATAGGTTGGCCTGGAGGCACGTGTGTTATGGTCAGCCCTTCAGATGGGAGCTCCCTGGAGGGGTGAGAGTCAACAGAGGAAGACACTGTATAAGGTAAGAACATTTTACCAAAAAATTTTATTGAGAATTTTTGAATACCTAAAGTTGGGTGAAGTTCCTTTGGAATAATTACACACCTTAAGTGATGGCACGTGAACCACCTCATTGTACTGATCTCTTGTGAGGATAGTGACAATGGCAGGCCACCCTGCCCTCATGTCATCCCTGCTGTACAACACCTCACATGCCCGCACATCAACATAAGAATCAGGCTGCAGCCATCGAGCCAATCGTCCACCGCTGGTACCTCCTGCGCACGATACAAAGTCACGCAGGAACAAGCGTTCATTGGAGTGGCAACTGTGAGGAAATTTCAAGATATTACTTGATAATGTCAATATGTATCATAATAAAATACTTCTACAGTATACACCCATAAATTTATCTATGGCTTATTCAGTTGTTACATCAAATACATAAATACTGTTCAAGATTTTGTGTGCTGTCCACTGTTTACTGAAAGGCTAAAGAAGAGAACTTCGGGGAGATTACTTCATTTAAATGACGTTCACAACCCGTAGTTTCTCATAACTCAGCAGCCTTGGCATGTATGATGGGAGATGTAGATAATAAAATACCCAAATATTATCAGTACAATACAGAATAGTTCAGAAAGAATAAAAAAGTTGCCACTAATTCTTATTACATTACCAACTAGTCTTCAATAGTACTAAAGCATAATTAGTTCCCTCTATTACATCCCACTTGCTCCTTCCTTCCTTATTCTCTCTCTTCATCATCATCATCGTATCTTTTACATTCTCTTCCTCTTATGGTTCTCTTTTTCACTTTCTTCCCAATTTCCATCTTTTGTCCCCTTACCATCACCAACACACTCCCACACATATCCTTCAGTCTCCACCATCACCAACACACTCCCACACATATCCTTCAGTCTCCACCATCACCAACACACTCCCACACATATCCTTCAGTCTCCACCATCACCAACACACTCCCACACATATCCTTCAGTCTCCACCATCACCAACACACTCCCACACATATCCTACAGTCTCCACCATCACCAACACACTCCCACACACATCCTACAGTCTCCACCATCACCAACACACTCCCACACATATCCTACAGTCTCCACCATCACCAACACACTCCCACACATATCCTACAGTCTCCACCATCACCAACACACTCCCACACATATCCTTCAGTCTCCACCATCACCAACACACTCCCACACATATCCTACAGTCTCCACCATCACCAACACACTCCCTCACATGTCCTTCAGTCTCCACCATCACACATGCACACACAAAAAAATCCCCAGTACTTGCATGAACTACATGATAGAGTAAAGTAAAGGAGTATGAACAAAGGAGATAACTGAAATGAGTGAGGTCACATCCTCTCCTGAAAACAGCTAAGAACTATTCTTAGAAATGACAACTTCCTGTCCCACACTCATGATAAGGTCAGAGAAAGGGGACTCACACACCACCACTTGGTCTCTAAAACAGTTGTGTAAAATCTGGTCAAGTGTCTGGTGTGTATATGTGTGGAGCTGAAACATTACCACAAAGACAGAACATGTTGAAGCTTCTCCTTGGGATATGTCTCCTGGGGGGGTGTGCGAGACATGTTTATGGAAACAAAACAATTCTCGCTAATGATAACGCGGAAAATTATTTTTCTGGAGCAGTAGTCAATCCCGAAGATAAATTTTCTTCCGGGCCAACACATGCATCCGGTAATCAACCACAATATGATGGAGGAAAACCACCTTTTGTGGCTCCAGGCATCAGGATGACCAAAAATGAAAGTGATTATAGAAATAAACCAAACTTAGAAGTAGTGCCCAGAGATGCACACATATCCACCAATACTTCAACATGGAGACCCAGCAGACCACCACCTTCAGAAGACAACAATAGACTATCACCTTCAGAAGACAAGAGTGGACCACCACCTTCAGAAGACAACAGTGGACCACCACCTTCAGAAGACAACAGTGGACCACCACCTTCAGAAGACAAGAGTGGACCATCACCTTCAGAAGACAACAGTGGACCACCACCTTCAGAAGACAACAGTGGACCATCACCTTCAGAAGACAACAGCAGACCACCACCTTCAGAAGACAACAGAGGACCACCACCTTCAGAAGACAACAGTGGACCACCACCTTCAGAAGACAACAGCAGACCACCACCTTCAGAAGACAACAGTGGACCACCACCTTCAGAAGACAACAGCAGACCACCACCTTCAGAAGACAACAGAGGACCACCACCTTCAGAAGACAACAGTGGACCATCACCTTCAGAAGACAACAGTGGACCACCACCTTCAGAAGACAACAGCAGACCACCACCTTCAGAAGACAACAGCAGACCACCACCTTCAGCAGACAACAGTGGACCACCACCTACAGAAGACAACAGTAAGCCATATGATTCACCTGTAATACACGAGGCAGCCATTCAGGATGACAGAGAAGGACCTGGGTTATCAGATAAAGGAGAAACTCACAAAGAAGAAATTTATTCTGAGAGAGGCAACACTGAGGGTCTTCACCAGGGCACTGAAACACAGCCACAAGACGAAACAGATAAGAATAATGACAGTACTTATACAAGTATGGAGACTAACAGAAGCTCTCATGACGACAAAGGTTAGTACAGTACAGTACATAATATATCATCTTGTCAACTTTAACTATATACGTACAGTACAGGATAATTAGTAAACCAGTGTGAGTAAGTCAACTTCAGTTGTATGTTCAGACAAACAACACAGCAGTTTAGCTTGTAAACAAACCTTCAAAATACTGTATCATATTCATACAGGAAGTATTTCATGTCATGTTTGACTCCTCATTAATACAGTTGATAATACAAGTACGGTACAGGACTATATTATCTGGCAAACTTCCAACCAGAAACAAACCCGATTCAGGAATTTCTGAATCTTGGAAATAATAGGACTAAAAATTTCATATTACTGTACAGTATATCAAATAATGTAAGGAAAAATATGTGTCAAAGCTGAGAGGATGTGACCCCACAGGTATAGTATACTGAGTACCTGACCTCATGATAATGTTACCTTCCTGAAAAGAGTGAAAACCACATCATAAAATGAAAACTATAAATGTAATCATATTTACCCAAGAACCACCATACTGTACTGTACTACATTACTCAAAAATAAGTCTCCAACAAGTACAGTAATAAAATGACACCTTGTAATGCAATTTAAATATCTGCATGGTTAAAACTTTAATATATATATATATATATATATATATATATATATATATATATATATATGTGTGTGTGTGTGTGTGTGTGTATATGTATGCGTGAGAAAATTTCACCGTAGTTTAACATTTTCACCATAACTCATCACTGTAGCCACATTCCTGCCAGGCGGAGCCGAGGTGTGGTTATTTTCAACCATATCAGATATATGTACATAAATATACACATCATCTTATCACACACACACACACACACACACACACACACACACACACACACACACACACACACACACACACACACACACACACACACACACACACACACACACACACACACACACACACACACACACACACACACACACACACACACACACACACACACACACACACACACACACACACACACACACACACACACACACACACACACACACACACACACACACACACACACACACACACACACACACACACACACACACACACACACACACACACACACACACACACACACACACACACACACACACACACACACACACACACACACACACACACACACACACACACACACACACACACACACACACACACACACACACACACACACACACACACACACACACACACACACACACACACACACACACACACACACACACACACACACACACACACACACACACACACACACACACACACACACACACACACACACACACACACACACACACACACACACACACACACACACACACACACACACACACACACACACACACACACACACACACACACACACACACACACACACACACACACACACACACACACACACACACACACACACACACACACACACACACACACACACACACACACACACACACACACACACACACACACACACACACACACACACACACACACACACACACACACACACACATTGTTCCAAAAACTGTAAAAAAAATAATTATCATAAGGTCAAACATATGAAGGGAATAAACATTTCTTTGTGCATGAGTGGTGGAAGGGGAGGAGGGAGAGTCAGCATCCACACATTTTGCAGATCCTGTTCAACTGAACAGTGCTGATGATAAGATAAGCGATACACCGAATAACAAAAGGGAGATCATCAAGGGTGTGCGTTTGTTGATAACGAGACAATCAAGAATGATTGTATAAAATGCTACAATTATTTGCTGAATGAGGAGTCTAAACTGAACAGAGACAGCCAAGAAGCAGCAGAGCCACAACAAGGACCATTCCCAAGGATTGAAAGAGAATTGGTGAAGACAGTTATTAGCTCTGGATAGTTGGTGAAATAATGGAAGCATCAGACGACATTCTACCACATGACTCTCAGTTTGTTCCAACTCACATGCAAGAAATTCAATAAACTTCTGCTTGATGAAAGGGTTGGAGGGAAATAAATCTCTCCTCATAAAGAGGTCTGTGTCAACTGTGAACTTGACCAGAAGACTAAAGCATCCCACTGCAACAAACATGTGCACTGTCTTGATAAAAGGGAAAACTGTTATTGATGTATTTCCATTATACAGTGAGCATAATTGACAGAGTCCACTAGTATGCTCTGAAAAGACCTGTAAATGGTTCAAGAAAAATGATGCACCAATGCACCACCATCTAGCACAACTACTGGGTTATCACTCACACTGGCATTATACTCAGGCAACATACACCATAATGTATCAGATAGATGAGCTTTGGTTACCTGATACTGTACACTGATTTATTGCTCCTATGGGTAAGAGCTCATACTTTAATAGGTCATTCATATTCATTCCCAGTTGGACACCACTTGTGAAGAACTTTTTTGATAAAATTTCTGATCACATTTGTAGGATCATAGAAGCTAAGACAAGAGAGAGAGAGAGAGGATGTGCTACAAAAGCTCCATTATCAGAAAATTTTACACTTCCTGTGAAAGTTAACACATTTCCTTTTTATGGCTTGAGTCCTTCACTACAGAAGTCTGGTATTATCCTGGACCCATCTGTATAACCCACTTTAGTCTGGAATTCCCATTAAATAACGAACATATTTCCTGTTAGAGATATAATACAGGATATCAAAATCGGCCAAGCAGTAAACTATGGACATTAAGTATACTATGCTAATTATGAATAAAAAATAAATAAATAAAAAATACTGTACAGAAGATTGTCACATCCCCTGGTGATACATCTGTGAACTACAAATTTACTTCTAACTGTAAAAAAAAGACCAAGAACATAAAGATGCCTCAGATACACCTAACAAAAAACTGAACTGAGGATGAGGAGAGAAAGCTGCCTTCCATCCAACTTGTAGTCCATGCAAGAAACGAGAAAATTAAAGCTTCAGACAAAATAAGGTGACAAAACTAAACCAGGTCATAGTTGACTCAGAGGTCTGATCAGTTGTAAGAAATTTGCACATATCACACTGAAGAAGCCAACCTCCCAAATATAATGAGGGAGAGTCCTGAGCCACTCCCCTAGCTACAAGACAAGGCATTACTCAAACTAGTACCAATTCAAAGTTGGCTCACCAGAGTATGTCCTTGGCACAGAATAGCTGCCCTATAGGAAGGAGTCAAATACTAATCTGTTCTATTACCCACAAGGAAGAGCATCACTAGTACATGTAATTAGTACTATAGCCAACTGGTCATCATAAGTTCCCTGATAAAACAACCTCTGTACAGCATCTTCTGCAGCCAACTACTCTACCCAAAGATGAATCCAAGATCAAGATTTGTCAATGAACTCCCCTTCATAGTGTTATAGCTTATTCCAGGTCAATCCAAGTGTCATACATATGTCTGAGGGTTGGCGACCATAACCCCCCACTCAAGACACTTTGTATCACTCCTGGAAACAAGCTTTAAATTTCATTCATCCAGCACTGTTTGTATCTTCCCCTAGGCCTCCTACCTTCACCTTTATCTACTAACCCTTCATATTTAGTTTTCAGGCCAAAGAATCGCATATTTTGCATTCTTCTTGTTGCTCCACTCCATATTAAAACAACCTCCTTTGTTTTTCTATCAGTAAAATTAAATTTCATCTTTCTCCTGTATCATCACATTTCAAAGGCCTCTAGATTCCTTTGAGTACAGGTATCTGCCTAACCCCTTTGTTACTGGGACGCCATATTGTATTCCTTATTTTGCTAATGCCGGACGACTTTCTTTAGTAGAGAGGGGAACCAGTACATCCTAAAACAGTATTGATCATACATTGTCTTCCAGGTGCTTCTTACTCAACCTTAAATCTAAGGCTCTTTCTGAGATCTCTCATATTATCAAATGCCTTTTTTCCCATGACCGATGCAAAAATTGTCTAATTTCTTCATATCTACAGTACAGTACCTTCAAAATTTATCACTTCCCAAATACAAAAAACTTTACAAGTGATAAATACCCTGTTGCCTACAGTCACCTTATATCTTAGGATTCAAAGTGAATTTGGACACAACAATTACTAGTGTGAACAACGTTAATCCTAAGCCCTTTTTTCTATAACCATAAAATATTAATAGTTCAGTACAGGGAACTTCATCTGTTAATGACAATATTTTGGGCACTGATAAACAGTTCTGAAGATTAAGTCGGTTGTCTAAAAAAATTGAGAAAATCAATAAAAATTATACTGCATCATCCTCTCTATATTATACTACACATAAAATAATACAGTTATGTTAAATTACAGTACAGTGCAGTACAGTACAGTACCTGGTAACCTCAGACACATAATTCTTGAACAGCAAATGGTATTACAGACTATAGTAACAGAATTATCAAACTCAACTTGGCCTGAATGCTGTAGTCGGGTTACAAACAAAACTTTAAAAAGCATTGTATCTGGTAATATAAAATTTTTGGCTTGCAGATTATAGTGCTCTCATTGTAGATAGTAATGAAACATTGCACAACTATAAACACTGTTTCAATGTGACATATGATCCTATACTTCATCCTCTACATTCAAGACAAGTACACTTCTGTATACTGTATGTCTGTTTAAAACTCTTTCGATGAATTTATCATTATTTCTCTCAATTGCCCACAAACATCTCATTTTTCCAATATTCTTAATAAAATCAATTTTCTTAGCCAAACCCCTCTACTTCATCATGGTCAGCAATAACAAGCCGAGATGTTATAAGAAACAGCATACTGCCCTCATTAGTTTTCTAACCTATCCAGTAATTCCTATTGTAGATCTAAGGAGATATATATTTACCCAGATGCACCTCATGACCACCGACACACACCACCTTCAGACCCCGAGGTGATGGACCCGAGGACCCCTAGAACAATTGACCTGTGCTCTAACTGTCTTTGTGATCCTCCAAAAAGGAACGTCGTCTGTAAGCACGATCATCTGAATGATGTAAGTGGAAACCCTTGGCTTGGTAAAAAAAAAAAAGATAACTCAACTCTATACAGTATATTGTACTGTACAGTATGGTAGAATATACTGCATTTACAAAGACATTCTACAAAAACATTTTGGTTATGATAATCAATGAAGACAGCTACTTGAACTGTACTTAAATTTGTACAACAGCACATTTCCTTCTGTTGACATTACTAAAGTGTTTGGTGCTTGTCCATTATGAGGTTCTGATTTATGAGAGACCTAAGATTGATCTATTTTCATGATAAGCCCAGGACCCCTGAAGCTTGAGAAAGCCTCGCGCACACTCCTCGAAATAACTAGTTATCAACAATCATTTTCTCTGAAACATTTACAAACTGGCATGCTTTACATTATACACATACACTGCATGGGCCCATTTAGGAAGAGACACATGGGAATTAAAATAAAAAAATTGCACTCCTTATGGAAGCTGGAAATCTTTCCTTCTGTTTGACATTTACATGGAGTGTTTTGTCCAGTTCATCTTGATTATAGCAACTTTGACTATTAATTTCATAGTTTAGAAATCCATATTGTAAGCCAATTAATAACTGGTAAGTGATCCTCACACAGAAATACAATCTGGTAGGTACTACACGCCTGCCTCTAGTGCTGTCTGACTGAATACAGTGCAGTAGGGTCGGGGTATATCGCGAGATAGGGTCCAAGGATGTTCGCTATATACTAAATCGCAATATATAATTACATGTAATCAATGGGGAAAATAGGGTTAGGTTCTGGAGGCCAATAAAAGTGACTAAACTTGACACAAACTGGCAGTCTAAAGTTAACAGAATATAAATTGCATTGCTGGAATCCTTGCAAGACATGGAATAATTTGAATATAGACATCATATATTTTGCACAAGAGATAAAATTTTTTGTCTCTTAGAGTACATTTAAGTACTGTACAGTTTTTAAATATTTTTGGGGGCGATTTAGGGGATTTTTTGAAGTGTTTCTGACTTTATACGGCTTTTGGCATCATGTGAGGTCCCAGGAACATAACCCCACGTAAGTTGTGAGTCTACTGTAAATAAATTTATCGCTATATATAGGAAAATGTCAATAATTTCGTAGCCGCGATATAAAAAAATCGTTATATAAAGTTGCTATATACCCCGACCCTACTGTACTGTAATAAGGGAGAGTGTTTCTTTTTATATAATAAATTACAGAAAGTGTCACCCCAAAGAGAGGTAACAGTAGACATCATAATTCACCTGAATATTGTCCCCCCCCCCCATGTTTAACCACCCATGCTAACTGGGAGTTAATCTTCGGGTGATCCATAAATGATAAAATTGTGATTGGTCTTGGTCTCAGACTTTTAATTTTGATTTATTTATTATAATTTTCCCCTGCGTCTCCTTTGGTGTGGTCCCTAACCCCATAAGGTTTAAGTATTAACACTGCAGCAGACTGGTCACTCACAGAGACATGATCCTGGCAAGTTTGAGATTCATCTGTTTATGTTTAATACTGTACTACTCACTTATGGTGATGCTGGTCATTAACTAATTACAGTACTTATCTCTTTATTACTTCACTGAAATTCTTAGAGTTCAAGAGATGTAGAAATATATAAGTTTTACTTGTGAGTTGTGCCAAGTGATAATTGTGTTAATGTTTACAGGGAACATCACACCACTTGGTCCTGAATAAGGGGCTTATCCCTCACAACTCCACATCTCTACACATATTGGGTTTTGAAACAGTGATAATACATAAAGGAACATTCTCCAGCGAGAGTCTTGCGCTCCGTCAAATTCACTTTGAAAATATTGGCACGATCCGACTCTCCAAAGAATCTCTATTCTTCAATTCCAAAGCAAAGTAAGTGCAATGTTTTTGAATAATACATACTGTATTTATACTCTACATGTATATAATTATTTTAGGAAGTAATTTATGGGAGAACAATTTGGTAATCCCCAGATTACTACCAAATTGCTGTAGATATTCACCACAACAACAAGCCCCTTAACGTAGTGTAGTACACATGTTGTCACTCATCATATACTGTATAAAGTAAGACAACAAACAATACAAGTGTTACTTTACTCCTTTACAACTAATTAGGTAGTTCTTATATGTAACCAACACTTAACAACAATATATCATTAGGCAAGTGAACCACTAATTAGCAATATAATTTCTTTGAATTGTTCAGAAATTAAATACTCCTAACAGACAATAAGCTCATAATCTTCCCACAGAGAAAACATGGAGACAGTGGTATTATTCACAAGATGCAACATCAAGGAAATACCAACAGAAGCTGTCACTCAATACTCAAGAAGTAAGGACCAGAGAAATGACATAGACTTAGAGGAGACAAGATTCTTGACCATGCAGTTTAGGTGGTGAGTCATATGAGAGAGAGAGAGAGAGAGAGAGAGAGAGAGAGAGAGAAAGAGAGAAAGAGAGAAAGAGAGAAAGTGAAAGTGTGTGTGTGTGTGTGTGTGTGTGTGTGTGTGTAGTGGGGATTTTGAGATTTTTGGACAACTTTTATATTTTTTTCCTACAATCATGGAATATTCTCATTATTTCTACCTTGACAACAAAATATGCAACTGATAATATTGAATTAATGAGGGTTCAGTGTGTGTAAACATTTTAAATGAATCTGAATAATTTAATAGTAATGCTTGTGCTTGATTTACAGGTGCAACATAACAACCATCAGAAGTTATGCATTTTACCAGGCAAGACTTCTTTACTTTACGATGAGCCACACTAAGGTAACACTCAGAGACAAGGTCACACCTCTCTCTACATTTACTGTCAACACTGGATGGAATATGAATAACATCACATGTTTATGAAGTGCTACTCATAGTTATATCTTATTGATAAACAAATACTGTATGTGCTCTTTAGGATTCATCAACACATTATTCTCCATAAATATTTATATCTGTATACACAGTACAGTATAGTCTGCATTTACGCGGTCAATTGAACACGTGGAGGTCCGCGTAAACCGAGAAACGCGTAAACGAAATAACAGAACATATGGGATTAATTGAAATAGAGACTGGACCGACCCCCAAACTACACTTTTTCCGACACAATACGTACATTGTAGTAAAAATAACATCTTAATTTTATGATGGTATGCACACACAATTAATATTTAAAAGAAATATCAATAATATTAGGTTATTTTACACTTACGTTAGTAGAAAAGATGGGTCAGCACACGTGGATGGCGGCTGGTTCCGAGGCAGAGGGCAGATTAGTTGCCCTCCGGTGAATCACTTTCACTACTCGCAGAGGTTTGCAGGGCCTCCCAGACAAACCCCTCAAAGTCCATATCCTCACTATCACTATCACTGACTTGGGCTGGCTGTGGTTGTGGTGGGTTGCGGGCGAAGAAGTCCTTAATACTACATTGACGACTAGCATTGATGTTGTCGAGATAGATCTGGATATACGGCTCCATAACTTTCGACAGATGGTTATTAGACACTTCATACTGATGCTTGTCTGGGTCGTTGTCAAGGATGAGCTTCATTGTCTCCCCCAACTCGATGATTTCCTTCACATAATCATGGCTTGGTCCAGGTAATTCAAGGTTTTTCTGGGGTGGTGGGGGTCCAGCGGAAGCCATTGTGAGGGGAATAGCGGGCACAAGAGAGAACTGTATACGCGGACTGAGAACAATGAGACTGGCCCGGCTAGGTCAGCGACTTCTGGTGGCAGGGCACGTCATGTTACATTAGACCAATCACAGCTAGAGGCGGAGGGAATGCGTGGGTGGTAAGGATGCGTGGCCCAATCACAGTCCGATACGTCATATGACGTCAGTGATAACGTAAGAGCGACCTAATGCGCACCCCTCACCGCGCCGCTTCCCGCGTATGGTCAAGAATGGACCGCGTGAGTAAAAAATGGCGAGGTGCGTCTGGACCTCTCCAGCCGCTCGCCGCGTAAATGATGAAATTTACCGTGTAATTAAAACATTTCATTCTGGCAAGGCACCGTGTAAATGACCAAACGAGTAACAAGAACCGCGTAAATCCAGACTATACTGTATACTGTACTATATTATAATATAATATATAATGTACAGGTATATACAGTACATATATGGTACAAAATGTTACTAAACATAATATTAAACATTTTATAGGTGGAACATATGGAAGAAAACTGTATATATCTGGACATTTATGAAGAGTGGGTTGTGGAAGACAGTCACCTTCCTAAGCTTGAGCAGCAAACCATCAGTTTACGGGCACAGATGATAGTTGTGTTTTCCCGTAACATCATTGACGGACTAGAGAACAGGTCCTTGAACATTAATTCATCTAATCAGGTAAGACGGTCAAGATATTGTTACAAGTCTAACTTACTTTAGAAGATAACGTAATTGGCAAGTAAATTATATTCAGGGAAACAAAACTTAAGGAGTGATCTTGAAATCCTATTTCATACCAGACTAGTAGAGTGCTGGGGTCAGGAGACTCATTTACTGTACTGTAAAGTCAGTGATTCTCTGGGATGAACACCAGGTTCCTAGGGAGCCAACACCTGTACCTAGCAATCTAAAAACTGAGTTAAATAAAAAAATAAACAAAGCTTCCCAACTTGATCTTTTGGGAGAACTTATTATGGCAGCTCCCCTTAGCCTAAAGGGAGAAGGTTAAGTCTTTGCCATGAGGTAAGACTTTGCACTCCTCCATCCAATTTTGTTCTCGTTCAGTCATAAAACAATTACGAAGGATCAATCACCTCAATTTTAGCTCAGTCAGCTACTCTACTCAGTGGAAGGAGGGGATTGGAATTGCTCTATCCTGGCTCTGTGAGAAAACAATTCTCACCACAGTAGTATTTTAAACTTAACATTGTAGTTTTTTCTGTATGTCCTCCCAGCCATCCAACACAGAATAGTGTACTTAAATATGTATGTAATATATTATACAGTATTAGTATTCCTCTAGTTTCTTAACTCTTTGTTTGTGGCTCGTGGTAAATTTGCCGTGCACTACATGCTCAAATATCATGAAAAATTAATGCTCTTAAAAATGATTGTTTCACCTTACCAAGTTAAAGGTACAGTATACAACTTGCTAATGGCAAAAAATAAATAAATTATCTAGTTTGGTTTAATAGTGAAGAGCTCCTGTGTTGCACGAAGTAGATGGTTCTGGGTAACAAGGAGGACACCAACATACTGTACAGTACTTCCTCCTTGATGACCATGTGTGTACTGAGGTGCAGCTGGGAGTAAGGGGGTGGTGTATGGGACCCTGGATTTCTATGGAACACTGTCTATGAGTCACATAGTACTGTACGTACTTTTACAAACTGTTGCCAAAATTTTGGCAGCCTGCTGCCTTATCCATAGTGGCCAGTGTGCATTCTGGACCCTACAGTATTCTTTTAGTTGTCTTCATTTAGCCTTAACCAATATTTAGTCAATTAAAACAACTATGAACACTCACATTGATAATTGCACTTCACTCCATTGAGTCATTAGTGAGACTTACACCACCACTAAATTTTTCAACAGTCACAGAAAATTCTTACTCCTTATGTAAGGTCACTAGAAATTTATCTGGTAAGACTCACTGGTATATCTAGACAGTTCAATTATGTATTTTCTTAATTTTACTTCCTATGTGTATGAAAATGTTAGAATGAGGTAACTATTATACACAAATTTGGTCACATGTGCAGTAAAACAGTGTGCAGCCAGCAAGTCTTAACAAGTGGTACACCAATATACTGTACAGAATATGTGTGCTGCATGAAAGTTTTCTGTCACTAATACTGTATACTGCTTACTCAACAGGTGTTGTTTGAATACAACTCAGTCTCTCATCTGGGGTCAGAAGCACTGATGGGAATAAAGCCATCAGGATATGCACGTGGAGCAAACATAGTCTTCCTCAACAACTCAATTGCAAAAGCAGATAACGGATCTCTTGCCACCAGCAGAAATTATCCAGCTCATGAACGTAAAGTACTGGATAACAAGTTTGGCATTGTTTGTGACTGCAATATCAAACTCAATTTCAGACACCTTCTGGGCATCACTACAGAGAATGACTACTATGATCAATCAACTTACCAGACAGTGATTGAAAAATCCCTCTGTCAAAGGTTTGCTGAAGTAGAAACATATAAATATATTGAAAGCTATTACAATGAAGAATGCACACCACTGCCACTCCCAATCATCATATCAGCATCAATTGTCTTGGCACTAATAATCATCACCATTATAGTATGTGTAGTCTGCACCCAGCGTGCGGCAAGGGCAAAGGAGGAGGCAAATTATCTTGGGGAATGCTGCTACTCCCATAGCTTTTCAACTCTTCACTCTAACCCTGGACCCCTCGTGCCATTACAAAATCATCAGTGTCAATCCTGGGAACGAGGTAATAATATTCAATCATGGGTAATGGCAGTGCCAGAAGTTAAAACATATCAAGAGACAGAAGTGGAGATGCATTATGAACACACAGAACCCATGAATGTCAGTTTAAGAGGCTCATATCCTGAACCCCTTATTGATTTCCATCGAAAGACTCAGGTTCGTGCTTCATGTCCTTTCAACTAAAACTTGGATAAAGTAAAGTGTAATGATGATTGGCTGCTTAGATGAGAAACTCACAAATATTGAATCAATGAGTCTCATATCTATGGAACTTCTGAACCAAACTTAAAAAAGAAAAAAAAATCATATATTTACAGCACAAGCACCTGCAGTCCTGTATAAGCATCAATAAACATTTAGATGCTGCATTATCCCCGGCTTACATAGCAAAATACTTGACTGTGGGTGACAACAATACATCTATATAATGACTGAATAAGTGATCATAGTTTTATCACTGAATTGTTAAAAGGTTAAAAAAAATTAAAAATATAAATGTGATGTTTCATAATTTGTTGATGAAATAGTGACAGAATCATAATACATTGTCATAAACCAATCCACTAGTGTTATAATCAAGAAGAGTTCATCTACTTCACACACTCACTCCAGCTGTATATAATTGCTACCTGAAAAGTTTGCTTAAGTTTTAATAATAATGATGTGTGAGGACAAACCTCTTTTGGATGATGTGAACATTAGGCACCCCAGCTTAATTCACCTCATGATTAAACATCCTAACCTAACATAGAGTAACCCCCCCCCTCCCTGGTGATAAGGTGTATTATCAACAGGTAAAAAAAAGCTGGGGTGCCTAATCTTCACATGACCTCTTGTTTGATACTCAATGTACATAACTGTTACCATAATAAAATCCATGTACAATATATTTATGATGTAGTTTTAAGTTACTATCTGTAGCCTATACATATTAAAACAATTTTTTTTACATTTTTAAACTCTTTTAAATATCCCATCCACATGTTATTCAACTGTTTCTCTTTTTGATATTGATAAGTTTCCCTTCATTAATCTTTCTCTGTTTCCCCCCTTTTTCATGTCTTAGTCTTCAAATCTCATTGTGTCACTATTCTTTCTCTTGTTCTCAGCCTTGTTAGTTTCCTTAATTTAGTGACCAGACAATAAATCTCTATCACCAGCATTTGTTTACTTCCTCACTCAACATCGGTGCGTGCCTGCCCGCCCGCCCGCCCACCCACACACACACACACACACCTGTACCAACACAGGTGTGGGTGGCCTTCTTCCCCAAACACCCATATAAAAACAGCAGCTCTTATGATGTGTACTATGTGATCCGTGTGTGCCTCTGTCTAACACGTCACTGTATCCTGGTATACAGTTGTCAATCAGTGCAGCTTTGTATGAGAGAGTCTGTCTAAATATGTCCAAGATTTTCTGTAATACCCGAGATGATGCAGCAATTACATGAAATACCTAGTTACACAAGTCTCCTGTAATGTATTTAACTCAAGCACTGTACCCATACCTCTATGGTCAGACACATCTACTGTGTGTGTGGGAACATGTAAACAGCCGAGTAAAGAAACACAGTTGCGTAAATATGAGTGACGCACGTTCTGTCGACCACCACAATGACCTACTTGGAAATTCCATCAAGGTCTTATGTACTATATACTGTATCTTCTAATAAAATAACCTTTAACTTTATAAATACAGTGTACAGTGTCTTCATACAGGGTCATTACAGTTTTACAAGAAACTCAAACAGTTTATTACTATGTACAGGTAATTGTACACCTTCCCTAACAATGTACACAATACGTACTGTACTGTAAATGAAACGGTAATTTAGAGCTAAGAAAGACACCACATCATAGTCAGACATCCTGTTTAAGATTCTGGGAACAGGAGCAAGGCTGTTTGTCTGTCTCTCCTGTCAACATTAAATTGACCTCATAATAAAATAAAGGGATCATACCATGTGATATGTTAATCATTTCCTTTATGTATACACTACACACAGTACTGTACACACTTACTGTACATGCTATAAGTACCAAGACACACAATAAAAGCTACATGTCAACCAGAAACATCCTATACAGTCTACCATAATTCTGGGAAATTCCAGTGAGACACGTCACACTTGCTTCCCCTAGTTACCCACATTTATGGAGTAATGTACTAATATTCTTTAAAGAACTCACTGCACATTCATATGTGTATTAAAACCCTCTGATAAAACGCACTTCTCAATTATACATAACCGCCAAAATTATTTACTGTACTGAAAGCCACGTGCATCCAATTCTATTAATTTCTTTCAGGTAAAAATACTCATATTTAAATGATTTAAGAATACTGTATACTGTGATGATATTAACTGGTACTGTATGCTAAATTTAATCCAAGTGGAGAAAAATTAGAAACAACTACCGGGTAATCTTTCAGAGGACAGTAATATTACTTCTCGAGTACAGAATGGGTTTTGTTCCTGGACCCTGGTCGCAAGTCGATATGTCTGTAAGTCGGATCAGTGTTAATTCCATAGTTTAGGTTCGGTTAAAACACAACCCTCTCCATATAAAACAACATTAGTATCCCATACATAACAAATAATGTAAACACTGTAAATAAAGTGATGTTAAAGTCATGTAAAAAATGGAAATTTAATCACAGCCCTGTCCATACAAAACAACAATAATATCTCATATATAACAAACAATATAAATAACTTATATTGTAAATAAAGTGATGTTAAACAATATAGAATAATGAGACTAATGTAATAAATGGGATTTTAGTTACAGATTTTTTTCATGAATATCCAGGTACTGTACAGTACTGTACAGTAGTACCCCGATTTACGCGGTCAATTGAACCCATGGGGTACCGCGGAAAGTGAAAACCACGTAAAGTGAACAACAGAACATATGGGATTAATTCCAATAGAGACTGGCCCGACCCCCAAACTCCACTTTTTCAGACACAATACCTACGTTGTAGTAATAATTACATCTTAATTTTATGATGGTATGCACACACAATTAATAATTAAGAGAAATATCAATAATATTAGTTTTTTTTAACACTTACATTAGTAGAAAAGATGGCTGGGCACACAGGGATGGGGGGTTGGTTCCGAGGCAGAGGGCAGATTATTGGCCCTCACCTGTATCACTTGTATCAATTGTATCACTATCCACCACATAGGCATGCAGGGCCTCTTTGTCAAACCCCTCAAAGTCCATATCCTCACTATCACTATCACTGACTTAGGCCAGCTGTTGTGGGTGGCGGGTGAAGAACTCGGTAATGTTTTGATGACTGGGCAACCTTGTAATAATAATAATAATAATAATTGACGGTTTATTGAAAAAGTTCTGCAGCCCGAAGGCTGAAAATATACATTGGACATAAATGACTTATTACATACATTGGTGGTTTAACAAAAGCCTTCACTAGAGAAAGGTAAAGGAACATACAGTGAACATACAGATTATTGTAGGTGTTGAACAGCAAAAACGTAGTGTAGTAACTCCCTCCCAGATGGTGTTAGGAGGGACCTCACGTGGTGTAGTAGTTCCCTCACCCTCACAGATGGTGTTATGAGGGCCTCACGTGGTGTAGTAATTCCCTCACAGATGGTGTTATGAGGGGCTCACGTGGTGTAGTAATTCCCTCACAGATGGTGTTATGAGGGGCCTCACATGGTGTAGTAATTCCCTCACAGATGGTGTTATGAGGGGCCTCACGTGGTGTAGTAATTCCCTCACAGATGGTGTTATGAGGGGCCTCACGTGGTGTAGTAACTCCTTCACATATGGTGTTATGAGGGGCCTGACGTGGTGTAGTAATTCCCTCACAGATGGTGTTATATGAGTGAAGTGTGGTCCCAGGCCTTCCTATCGTAGACGGATTAACACATCGCTGGTTGTTGGGTCTCACGGGCCGCTATCACTGTGTACCTGGGACCTCACTGTGTGAAGGTCAACCTGGGTACGACTGTTACTGTTGAGTTGTTCTCACTGACTTAAGCACCGTTCACCACTGTTCACCTCTGTTTAACACTGGTTCCATTCCTTTCCTAAATGAAACAGCAACTTCTGGCGAGAACATGTTGATATTCCGGTGGGGAGGAGGGTTCAGGGGAGGGGGCTGGTATGGGCCAACACAACAGCTGACCTGGCTGCTTCCAGCGTATATGAGTAGATGCACCGCGGAAAGTGAAAGTTCGGTTCTGGCGAGGCACCGCGTAAATGAGAAATCGCAGAAAGTGAAACCACGTAAAGCGGGGTAATACTGTATTGGGATTCACGTTACAAATGAAAAATCCAAAGTTAAAATTTGTCCCCCATTTTCATACTTTTCTTCCTAAATTTCATTATCTAGAAACATATCCAGAACAAAGGAAGTAAAAATTATCAGGTGAAACACACTGATACCATAGATGTCTTAAAGTGAAAAATAAAGTTAAAAACAATCAGCGGCATCTGCCGTTATTTAGTCACCCACGCACATATTCACCCAGTGTGACTCAACCAATCACACGCTTCCTTTAACAAATTTAGCCCAGTTGTCAGCTTGGAGTGAAGAGTTTGTAACCACATATAAGGATATTTCCTGTATGAGGTGTAAACCACACCCTTGGTTGGTGTGAACGGAGCGAGACACAAAAGTGTAGCTTTGTACAGTACTGTATACTGTAACCAAACCCAAATACTGTATTATAAACTTGCTAAATTATGCCCAGAAAATGAGTTCCCATTATTATTGAGAGATAATATACACTACATCTAGTCTTGGAAATTCCAGAATGACGACAGAGGAAACAGAAGATAAGACTAAGAGCCTTTCTCAGGGAGACTCAGCCATACACTCTGGATAGACATAATGGGTGTATCTTCACAATAAGCTCACCTCACTGCCCTATTGTTTAGTGTAAAAAATGTTTTTTTCTACCTTTTTTCAATCCCTTTACTTGACAAAGTACACAAAATCTAATTTAATGTGAAATACTGAAAAGAGTGTTTAGTGGTGACAGTGAGTTGTCAATAAAGGTTAACAAAGGGTGAAAACTTTAAGATAAAGATGTTAATTAAGAAAGTTATGAAGCCACTAACAGTGATAATCTTTCTCTTCATTATGAACACAGCAAAATGTGATGTTTCCTTTCCTTCAAGTGGCACCCAGTGTGTTGACCAACTGCCAAGATTTTGTACTTGCCAACGGATTAAAGTTAACTGTGATTGCAATGGTAAAGTAAGTATAGCATATATTCATTATTTAGACTTGCATTCAATAAAAGTTAAAAATTAGGTGTAACTATAATGTAAGAAACTTTAAGCTAATAAATCTATTATTCTAATTTTTCTTATTTGATATACAATGGAATGATATACATATATTTAAAAATTATTGTGTTATTTCAGACAGCAGATGTTGGCCCAGCTTTTAGCAGCTATCAATTCATCACCATGGAGAGCTGTCAGCGACTAGCAATCCAGCCCCAAAGTTTCAAACACAGCAATCGTCTTCAAATAGTTCTTCAAAATATTACAGATCTACATTTGATGAGAGGTTCCTTTGAAATGGATGCACTGAGACATATCAGAGTAAACCTTACCATCACAAACTCAACTTTCAATGACATCCCAAGTAACACATTTATGACAACACAGTTTAACAATCGCACAACCAATACCAGAAACCCTCCTCAGCAAACACTGATATTTCAAGTACATAACAGTGTAATACACAACATACAGACTGCAGCCTTTGGAAACTTCATCCTAAAAGAATTCTATATTGTGAACTCAACTCTGGGATTCATTGCAAGTAATGCAGTGAACAATTCAATCACGAAGAGAATTCAGCTAGTTAACACCACTGTAAGAGAACTGGAAAGAAATGCAATTGTTCTACACAACTCTGCAGATGAAGGAGTACTCTTTGAAAACAACCAATTTGAAGGTAAAGTTTATTTCTAAGGTACGATATGTCTTCATCTATAAGGTGCAAATTCAATACTTAACAGGAAATATTGACATTCATGGATGATTTAATGTACTGTACTGATACTATTTAGTATAACTGTAGCTACGTCTCTAAAATGTACGTTATAAAATGAAGTGATATGTATAATTTCGGCAGTCACTTGACATTGGATTAGATTTATAAAATTATCAATAAAATCTGGTGGACAAATGTTAATTTTAGGTGTTTTTTTAGATAACCAACCCAGTGTGTTTTGTCTTGTCACATGCTTGAAAACTGTAATTACCAGCACTGTACTGTACCATGTCAGCATTGGTTGCACCATGGGTTTGCATATCCACAAACAATGTCAAGCAAAAATGTCTTTATTATCATAATTATTAGTAAGAACAGTGCAGAGAAATATAAGAAAGCTAGTAAGCCCTGCTGTTGTGGAACATTTACACAATGAACCACTTGGTAGACCTGATCCAGCAAACATTCCCGCCACGCTGGGCTGGAGACCTCCTGAGGTGGTCGTGGAAATCCACAGATAATTAAAACTGGATAACACAGTCAGTAACATGGAGCGCAAAATATAAAACAAACATACAGTACTGAAAACTATGGTTGGTGGAGGATACTGTACATCTATTCTATTTTTTAATTAAAATGATATAATTGGAGACAGAATTGAACCAGTTTAACCAATTAAGTAATGAACAGATTGTTACAGTAAACATAATCTAAACCTACCTTTTAATGTCCACTGACAATTACTGTACAGTATAATCTACTCCTGTGTTTGGTCGTCTGTAGTGGGAGTCACTCTCATCTACTGATACTTATCAAGTGCAATTCAATTACTTAAGAGATGAAACTGATTATTTGACAACAGGTTTTATGAAACTGGATCTTGACAATGTCAATTAAAAAGTTAAATTGTATTTGTAAATTTATACTTTAGTTTGACCACTTTGTTATGTGTCGGCTCACTAGCTGGTTAGGTAGTCAGACAGTTCTCCACTGCACACTTTTGGGAAGTACTGAGAATGTACACTTTCTTATGTGCCTGATCAGGTGTCTGTGTCTGTCAAGCCTGGACTAAATGAGCACAAATATTTAAACAATGGTGCAACATTATCAAGCTATTACAATGATGATTATTGAGGTAATTCCTACTGTATTTTTATATATCTCTGTCACCACACAAAAAATATATCTAACATTACTCCTCCATGTCTAGCCTCACTGACTGTGAAGCAACTGCATATTCCCATCCTGGTAACCAATATTAAGTAACTAATTTAAAAATAAAATAATACTTATATGCTTTACAACTTGCTTTAAGATACTGTGGGTCCTTCCCTGTTTCAGTATTTCAATACTGTACTGTACAGTAGATATAGTATAACCCTATAGTACAATAATTGAGAATACAAAGACATACTGTATAGTATTTGGTGTCATAGACTTAAGACTCTTTACTGTTAGTTATATGGTGGGAGTCATCTATTCCAATACCTGTAATTATACATAAACGTACCATGTAAAATATTCAACATGCTTCTGAATTATATTTTCCTTCAGGTGATATAGCAGGCTTCCTCTCGGGCAGCATCATGGGAGACGTCTACATAAGCAACAACAGTTTTCCTTCCCTGAAACTCTCACCCTGGAACCTGACAGTGGATGGTGACGTTCACCTCCGCAACAACACCTTCACAAATATTCCAAAACATGGATTGCTCTTTACGGTGAAGCATCGTATCAACATTACGGATAATGATATCCAACACCTTGAGAGTTACGCATTTCAGGGGATTTTACCAGAAGGTCAGCTAATTACAATTAAGTGTACATAAATGTATGAGAAACTTATTTTGCACTTAGAAATAACTCATCATAAACAAAATTATTTCAGATTATATTCTACTGTACATATATTTTAGATCATGATCATGACACATCAATTCCAATATATCAAGACCTCACATGCATTTTTTCTTCAACTGATTTTATAAAAATCATTGTAAATATGTTGACGTCTGTTATAAGAATAGGAACCATAATTTCATTTGAGCAGACATCAACAGCTTTATCTTTCAAGTGAGTGTTTTAGTGCAAGTCATAAAGCTACTACTGTACAGAACTGGGTCATGTTATCCTCTTACAGGTACAGTACAGTACAGTACAGTAGACAGTGAAAGGTTACAGGGAAATAGTGCTAGGAATGATGACAAAACTAAATTAGGCACGGAGTTAAAACCTAAACGCATCAAAAAGAGGACTCAGAACGTGACTAACTTATATGTCTACTACGCACAGTAGGAGTATGAGAGACAAAATGGATGAAATCAGGGCGTTGGTATGTACCGAAAAATCGATACAATAGCATTCACCGAAACATGGATAAACTTACTCACGTGAGTTACCTGTCGAATACCAAATTGCAGGTTACAAATTATTCCATACCGATAGGCAGATTAGGAAAAGAGGCGGAGTAGCAATCTATGTCAGGGATAATCTGAAGTGTGAAATAAATAAGGAAATAAAAACTGAGCGGAATACAGAAACAATTTGGATAGAATTAATCGATGGTAGGGAAAAATTAATCGCAGGAGTAATATACAGACCTCCTAATCTTGATAGAGTTAATGAACGACTTATTTGGGATGAAATGCACAGGGCTTCCAGACATAACAAAGTCTGTATAGTAGGCAACTTTAACTTTAGCCAAATAGACTGGATCGACCATACATGTAACTCAGAATCAGAGGATTTTCTTCAAACAATCCAGGACTGTTTCCTAAGTCAACATATAACAGAACCCACCCGGGGTAATATGCTCAATTTAGTTCTGTCAAACAGAGAAAACCTCATTAGTAATGTCGAGGTAGGGAATGAACTTGATAACAGCGATCACAAAGAAATTAAATTTCAATTAGAATTTAATAGCAGATGCAAGGAAAATTCCATAAAGTCCCAGATTTCAGCACAGTACAGTACAGTACAGTACAGTACAGTACAGTACAGTACAGTACAGTACAGTACAGTACAGTACAGTACAGCACAGTACAGTCAGTTCTGCTACAACGCGATAGTTGTGTTCTTGTAAAACCTCGCGTTGTAGAAATTCGCGCAATAGAAATAACAGGGCTTATGGAGAAAATAGGGTTAGGTGCAGATTACTCGAAATCGAAAAAAATTTAGTAGTTAGCCTAACACAAAGGATAGCACAGTCTAAATAAATGTTAAATTCATATCTAATAATGAAATCATTCAGTAAATGTAACACAGTTAATACCACAAAATTGGAGAAATAGTAAGCAAAAATCACTGAGGAAGCTTCAAAACAACCCACGTATTTCAACTGATCATGTGATGGAAACAGAGAGCGCGGGTGTAAAACGCTATTAGTCAGCACTGCGAAACATTTTTTTATTTATTTTTTTTCATGCAGTATTTATGGGAACAGCTAAATTTGCAAAAAAAAAAAAAAAGATGAAATTTATAGAGTCCCTATCAAATAACGCTTCACAAACAAAACACGTGAATCAATTGAACATGTGATGTCGAACGTGAACTGGATAACTTGGGGTTTGTGTTCAATATTTCCTGCTTCCTCATCAGTTATCAGAACAATTATACATAAAGAAGAAAGAGTTTTCAAGTTATTTTTTCACAGGGAGGAGAGCATTTCTATTCTTGGATGGGAATGTTATTCATGAGCATGACCCAATGTCCCTCTGTCTGAGTGAAGCCTTTGATGAGAGTGTTGTAGTGATCAGACACAACTTGTTTCATCAAAAATGTTCCTGCAACATCACAGAGGATTTAGCTGCATCTTTAGGCTCACCAAATGCAACAATAGAGGTAAATGTATCATTACTTTCTACTCCATCAATTTATAGTAAAAACTTTCAGCTTTATTTTCCAAGGAACTTTTAAATTTTTGCTTCATACCAAACTTATCATTTTTGTTTTGTAGAATTTTTTCCTTTGCAAACTTTTAATTTTGTTAGTGCTGTACTTTTAATCATCGTTTCTTAGCAGTTATTTTTATTTATATTTTCGCATAAAGTTTTGTCTTTATTTATCTGATTTAACTTTACCTGAAGGCCACCCCAACTAAATGTGACCATGACGGGGAAAGGTGGTGGGTGGCTTGTGTGGGATCCCTCCACTTGAAGACTGGGACAGTACTGTTCGTACTTCCATCGCTTCAACTGGTAGACTGTTCCATAAGTCTATTACTTCCTCATATTTGTTCTGCATGACAACTTGGTGAAATTATGGTGTGACCTCTTTGTCTTTGTGGCATTTGACATCTCATAAAACTGGATGCCCTTACTATCATCAATCACTTTTATGGAGTGGTAACTGGGCATTATATGTAGGACTTGAAACACCCTTTTAGCTGGCAAGGCAGGTCACTGCTCCTCGAGGTAATCAATGATTACCCGACTACTACGGACTGATTATTATTCTAATGCTTTACCTATTCTGTCACAACTCCTTCATATGATACTGTCATGATGTTAACAAGATTACCTCTCTGACTCCTCAGGACCTTTACAAAGATGGAATCCATCAACAGTGGTTCAGGAATGGTGAGTGTCTCCTTAAGACACACTTAACATCAACTAATCCAATAGATAAATTTCTTGCCAACACATGCTTCCACAAAAGCCGCTTCATTACGGTGCTGCTCCTGGTGTTTGCCATCATTCTCATTACCCTAACCATCTGTGTTATTGTTGCTTGGCGAAGAATCAAGCAAAAGAATACAATTACACCATCAGCATCAGCTTACCAGTCCTTTACAGAGCCTCAACCACCAAGCCAAGGTAAGAATAATAGTACAGTAAACCCTTAATTTGCTCAGTACAGTATTTTTATTTATTTTTTTGTATAATTTTGCTTATATACATACAATCAGTTAAATGCCCTTTTTTTCACACATGGTACAAACTCATTTACACATAGTTCAACACAGTGGCTGAATGGGGTGTATAATATTCTATACCTGCCAGATGTCCCTCCCTGACACCAATCATTATTAACTCCCATCCCCCAACACCCACCTTCAAAAGTTTAGCTGACAAAGGTGAGACATGGAACGTTTCTCGTATTTTCCATACTACAAGAGTTTCAATAATACTGTACATCTCAGGTGAAGGAAAATTTCAACTGTTGGCATTCCTTGCTTCATCCATCACCCCTTGTCAATAATTTTGTTCTCCTATTTTGATTGCCCAGATTGGAATCGATTGAAAGTTTATTTCTTGTAGAATGCAGTGAAAGCACAAATAGAAACATCTTTAAAAGAGGATTAGAGTGATGGAACATGTGTCTATAATGGATTACTGTACATCTACTTTGGTCAGCTGATGATAAGAGTGACCTTTCCTGTACCAAGTTATAGGGAACTAGTAATGAGAGCCAAGAACCTTAACTTCCTATATCCCATGAGCCATTAGTATTTTTTTTGCACAATTTTTCCCCAAGAAACTGACCACCATGTTAACTGAGGGTTACTGCACTCCATTTATATCTCTATAGTTTCCTTAAGCACATGAGCCACTGTATAATCAAGGGCTTCCTTCACATTTACTGTTTCTCATAGAGGAGATACTAAAGATGTTTGTTAGATGATCATTTTAAGTTTTCTTTTAATAATGAGGGTCCATATGGCCAAACCACTCTTCTGTAGTAGTAAATGAATTGGGTAGTCAGTAGTCACCTGAAGAATGCCACCCCCCCTAGTTTAATCATCCTGACACTACTTGGTGAAGTTAATCTTCAGCTGATCCATAAATTTTAATATTGTGAAAAGTTTCAGTCTCAACTTCTAAAGATCTCTGTGGTGGACTTTGTGGTATTGATTACATCACTGTGGTGTACTGTAGATGGTTGGTGATGTGAGCAAAACAACTTCAGCTTCCTCTTTAATAACACATCTACTGATCATTCTTCATTCTTCAACATTCTATGGCTAACCATAATTCAGTCTCCCTTGATATCAAAATATGTCTGAACGTTCTAATAATGCATCTACAGCGCCAAACTTTCTTTTCCCCTAATTTTCACTTTTTCTTTTCACATGTTCAAACTCTTCACAACAAACAAATCCTTTATGTAGAAAATTGTTCCCATGGTTGTTAAGTTACACTAAACTTTCCTGTTTTTCCTCAATGAAATTCAATATAAAACCCTGCAGACTACTACGCCATGTTCATACTGTCTGCCACCCCTCCATATCCTTCATCAGTATCTGTCTTGTCATTGTTCACCTGCTCATTTAGCAAAGATATTCTGGTAAAATTGAAACCCCAATTCCTCCCTTACTTTTATATGAAATGTTGCTCCAGTGATTCACCACCATACTCACATGGCTAAAGATACAGGAGCTTCCTACTTCCCACAAATAATGCTCAGTTCTTTATATGTAGGAAACAAAAGCAACTCTGAATGTCCACAAATTAATATTATTGCATTCCTGTATGATATAAGAGAGGGCAGGACATGGTCATTTAGACCCGACTTCAAAACGGTGATTTGAGCTTGGCTCAGGTCTGCGAATCTAAATTCCTTGATCTGAGATTTCCTGCAGTGAATTACCCATATTCAGAACATTGACTTGAACCCTGGATTGGGTAATCTGTTGCATTATCTTCAATTACGAGCAAGGATTCAAACACTGAAGTTCCACCCAAACACATTTCAGTTACACCATTACGACAGTCAATCACCATCGAGAGTAATGTTTACAAGATTATGGTGGCAACTATGGCTCAATGAGTTTTTACGGAGGAGGAGAAATCTCTCCTTGCACATCAAGAGTTACTTTTATTACGATAATTACAATCAAATTATGATCAAATTATAATGATTTATGGTACTGTGTTACAATGTGGCTGTGTTGTTATATGATAACAAAGAAATTCATAGAGGAAGAACAATTACAGTCAACCGTCACTTTACGTGGTTAATTCAACCCACAGGGTACCGCGGAAAGTGAGAAACGCGTAAAGTGAACAACATAACATATGGGATTAATTGAAATAGAGACCGGGCTGACCCCCAAACTCCACTTTTTGACGACACACAACTATGTTGTAGTAAAAATATTATCTTAACTTTATGATGGTATGCACACACAATTAATAATTAAGAGAAATATCAATAATATTAGGTTTTTTAACACTAACATTAGTAGAAAAGATGGCTGGGCACACGGGGATGGGCGGTTGGTTCCGAGGCAGAGGGCAGATTATTGGCCCTCACCTGTATCACTTGTATCAATTGTATCACTGTCCACCACAGAGGCTTGCAGGGCCTCTTTGTCAAACCCCTCAAAGTCCATATAAGCCCATATCCTCACTATAATTATCACTATCACTGACTTGGGCCGGCTCTGGTGGGTGGCGGGTGAAGAACTTGGTAATGTTTTGATGACTGGGCGACCTTGTGCGCACCATGCTCGCGCCGCTTACACAACATGGCGGATGGCGGGAGGTTTGGATCCAAAAATGGCGTCGCTCGCCAGCCGCTCTCCGCGTAAAGGGGTACACGCACCGCGGAATGTGAGCATTCCTGTTTCGGCAGGGTACCGCGTAAACGTGGAAACGCGGAATGTGGGACCGCGTAAAGCGAGGGTTGACTGCACAGTACTTACAAACTGTAAATATAATCCGGGACAGGTGTCAATATTTATAACCAAAGCAAGATGAATCAATGCAGAGTGTAGTAACCTGGCTAGGTTCAGTTAGGTTAGGTTTCTTTCTGTTATTTTAACCCCAACACTTCCCCTGATCAGTAATGTTAAGAAAAGGCTTTCCTTTGTCAATACATTAAAATCAAAATGCACTCAGCATTGATTCAATTATATTGTAAATACATCAAAATAGTTTTCCTAAAGAAAGACATTCAAAATAAAGAAGCGTCAGCGTTCTTTACATTTACCTGCTTGATCCTCATGGACCCTAAACACAAAAGTGTTGTAACACATTATTATAACTCATTCAGTTACCAGAATCTTTCTTACCCAGAAACTATTCATTGCGGAGAATCTCAAAGCAATCATCAGCTGACGAATGAGAGGTAGAGGTGAAACATTGCCAACAGCTCTGTCCAGTAGATACTCCATATCACGGAAAATATCACGGAAATCTCCCTTGCTGAACCTATATCGTTGTTTAAATTGCGCGTTATCATAAAAATTGATAGGATTCTGCCTATCTACCACCAGTCTTCTCTCTACAAAAATTTTTATTTGATGATATCGCCAAAAACCGCGCTCTCTGTCAAAATTCATGTTGACTTGCTTCAAGGATCGACCGCTAAACCTGCCTCCAGGCCGGATTAACGTGAGGATCAATAATTACGATCTCACACCCGGTTTGAATCTTTGTGTTGGCTCAAGCCAGCATTCTGAATACCAACAATCTTCAATCTTTGCTTGATCCTTGGTTTCAACCTTCATACCCTTTCAAATCACTGGTCTGAATTTGGGCCTTAGTGTATGGCTAGAGTCCTGCTAACCCTCCCTTCCCATACCTTGGCTTAAAATTATTATAAAAATAACTGTAATGATATTAAATAAAGAAATATCAACCTTTTGTATGTTTTCAGGTCCATCACCTTGGCAGGTGGTGCAGCCAGACCCTCGTACATATCAAGAAACAGAAATACATATTGTCTTTGACAAAGCTGAAGAGCTTTGTGTATCTGGAGAGGAATCTTCTTCAAACATTGATAACAGTGGACATGAGAAGGAAAATAAAGCAAATGAAAATAAAGGCAAAGAATGCATAAAAGGAAGAGAGACTCTGGCGGTAAAGGTGACACCAACTGTTAGACATTCTTGTCCTCCACTACAGTTGGCAAAATAAATACAGTACCATGTATATGATGTTACAGCTGAGTTAGGATGAATCTTAAAGGGATTGATTTATCTTACATACCGGTAAATGCTGCACAAAAGTTACATGCATGTACAGTACAGTAATGATAAAAACCCTCTGTAAACTCACAAACTTATACCCAATTATTGTTTAATTTATTACAAAACTGTATTTACAATACAGGAATTTTGGAGTTAAAGAGGAAATTTTTACTTGTAATATGTGAGTAATATTTTTCATGAATTTTTGACAACATATGATATAGTGTTGGCTAACTTTTATACCATTAAATGAGGAAACCATATATATTTCCCTTTCTTCTTTTCTTCATATTTTTCCCTGGTGTCAGTTGTTGTCTTAAGAAACATTAATGACAGATTGGAAACTAAGGTTTTGTCTTGATAAAAAGTATTAAAAATGACCAATTGCCATGCTCAAATTTTCCTGGAGAATTGACACTCATTGGCAACGTTGCTTGCAAACATTATACACCAAAGGGTTCAAGGAAACAGTGACGAGATGCGAGGCTGATTCATGAAAACACAACCTATAATTAAGTGTGGTTTGTGAGGTTTCTTTTGAAAGGTGCCTCTGTCAATGTCCTCAGCACCTACATTGTAAATTTACCCCTTACTTCATTCATTAGCTTAGACAAGAAATAAAAGGCTAACTGGTATGTCTGCAGGTGGTGGCTGCACTAGTGACTTGCTGTACTGTATCTTCACGGTAATAAAGTGTTATAACCCGCCTCAACCATCTCTGGCCACGTATATACATTAATTTAAATTTATGAATAAATAACACTGTAGTACAGAATAAGTTCAGCAAAAACCCAATTGGACAGTCGCAGCCGCCACCATTACGGAAATATCTGAGCTCTGTAACACAAACAACACCACACACAAGAATCTCACAAACCTAACAAGTTTTCTGATATGTCAAAGGTTGAGAGAGTAGTGTAGAGTACTGTACTGTACTGTACTGTACTGTACTGTACTGTACTGTACTGTACTGTACTGTACTGTACTGAACTGTACTGAACTGTATTGTACTGGCACAAATGTTTTGTCAGCATACACTTGGGTTTCATTATACCTGTACTACAGTATTTATGTTGCATCTACTGTACTGGTACCACTCAAAACTCCACGCCCAATTTAGGATGAAGCAGATAGTGTCATCATCCTACACAAGAAGGCGAGGTTTGGCACGACTCCACCTGTGTTGTTTACCATCATAAGGATTGAGGGGTGTCCAACTGGCCATAATGCTTATGGGAAAAAACTCGTATCATCTCTCCTTCACACTGTATTCCATCATTTGACTCCCCTTTCCCAAATCATTGTCTCAATAGTTGTATATAATTTGCCGATCATTTGATAACCAAAATATCACCCCCCCCCCCTATTTTCTTTTCTTACACTGCATGTCACTCACCTTTAAAGAAATTTTTTTTTCCATGGTACAATATTTTGAGAGGACCAGGAGCAGTATACAGTGTAAAAGTATTGAATGGGTAAAATATGTGGGGAAAAAAGATCAAAGAATGTATGAGTTACAAGATGATTAATAAATAGAGGAAGGTAGATGGTGAGGTGGATGGCAGGAATGTCTTTGTCAACCTGTTAAAATGTTCTGAGATCATGATTCAAGTAGGAGGTTCTGAGTGAATCACGACCTGCTGTGCTGCACGACAAGATGTAGTGCTAGACATACTCTCATAACAACAAGATAAGTGATGTTCTACAACTGTCACAACACTGGACCACAAACATCCCTTTAAAACATACATAAACAATAAACTTACCTGAAAGGAATGACACCATCTAAAGTCTGATGTATGGTTGGAGGATGAGAGAGCGCGAACCCTTTGCTAAGTAAAGTTGGATGAGCTCGATACACCTGTAGTGCCAAGTCTTCTACCAGCTCCATGTCTTCATCAAGGTCATCACCTTCAAGGAAAATATTGAACCCTTTAAGTTATCTACAAAGAAAAAACTAGTATGGAAAATCCTCATTAAGAGATCCTCAGGTGTACTCAGGTGTCAGTCCTCTAGTGAAGGGGTTAATTACTTCCTGAGGTCACTTCTATTACATCAGGTTCATTCATTTTATCCAGGAACAGTACTCTAATTATTTAAATTTATCTAAAACTTGAGAGGTGTTCATTATACACAAGAAAAGGCAACATACTCAGTACATTTGCTGATGTTTGGCAACTATAAGGCCTCTTTATTACCCCCTATGGCTAAATGCTTGCTAAACCAGAGCACTAGAGGCAGGCAAAGTTAGAATGGTAATATCAATTTTGCTAGTGATGGAAACTTTGCCTTTTTCTGCTGCCAGAACTAACTTAGTCACATCTGCTACCTGGGCCACCTTGTTTAAGAAAATTGACCATGAACCAGGAAATCCCTACATATGGTGGATTAGTGATCTGAGGTGAGGTAACTCCACTACTTGAACCCAAACTTAACCAACAGACAACTTCATCCCAACAAACCTGAAAATTAATAAATATATTTGTAGTCTCAAAAGGTCTTGAGAAAAATCAGACACCACAGATGTCTAAGACTTAGACATGGCAAATTGGTCTCGAGACAGAGATCAAAATAAAAACCCACATCACTAATATATACTATATTAAAACCTCACTCATACATACAGCAATACTTGTCATTTTCAGTATTTGACTCTTACCTGCAATAGGTGGCAAGCATAGATCCTTTTTGATTAGTGAAGCAGCACACAGTCCACCAAGGTATGAAAGCTCCTTCTCTAAGTGTCTCAAGGAGTCTGGTGGTGATGGTGGCCATTCATATCCCACAACCAATACCCGAAATCCATAAGTGTTGGCTCTCTCATCTTTCACATAGTCAGAGGCTGTTTCCAAAGAGAATACTACCTCGTGTCCTGGAAATAAAAAATAGTACTTGTAATGAACTTCCGATATGAAAGATACATCTGTCAGGATTAAGTTGGAGGACACTAACAATGGATATACAGTGGTCCTTTGATTAACGAATGATTCAATTAACGAAATTTCGGTTAATGAATTAGCTTCCATAAGGATTTTCAGTTCCATTAACGAACAAAACTTCGATTAACAACAGCCTTACGAGAAACACACTTTGTTGTGCGCATCAGCTGATCGGCTAGTCCGCCAATACAGTAATTGGTTCTATGTTTACATTCGTTTCCAGTGGAGTAAATATCAAGAAAGTTGTGCTCTTAAATATTTTTGCATTTTTTATATTAAATTATTGGTCATTTTGACATTTAGTTAATATATTGATAATATATACAGTACAGGGAACAGTTTTTGTGTGCTCTTCAGCTGATTGAAAAACCCACCAACACTTCTCAGTTTAACTTTGTTTACAGTGGTGTGAACATCGAGTTTGTTGGTCTCTTGAATATTTTTGCATTTTTACATTAAAATTATGGGTCATTCTGAAATTTAGTTAACATATTGATAATATACAGTGCAGAAATTATTATGAAACATAAAGAAGGCATTAGAACCAATGCACTCTGTAAAGAATATGGCATGTCATCATCGACTGCCTTTACAATCGGCTTTGATATGTAAACAAAGATGCCGGGAATACGACACACACACCTCAAAGTACGTTAAAACACAGTATTCTATTGTTTTTATTTATTATTGTACAGTACAGTGGTCCCTCGGTTAACGAATACAATTCGTTCCAGAAGGTCGTTCGTTAATCGAAACTATTGTTTCAATGGGATATTGGGTAATTGGTTCCAGCTCACTGAAAATTACATACAAAGTAAAAAAAAATGCTGTAAAGTACAATTACCTTGAGGTGTGTATGTAGAAGGCTCCTGGTTGATGATGATGATGGGAATTAGAAGTGGGGGTGGAGGAGAAGGGAGAAGAGAAGGAAGTGGGGGTGGAAGAGAAATCACCCCATGCTTCATGCCGTCATTTCACCCATAAAATTTTAAGCCCACTAGGTGTAATTCAAGATTATTTTCTTTAAATCAACACTGCACTGCACTATATATTGTCAATATGTTAAATAAATTTCAGAATGACCAATAATTGTACTGTAAAAACGTAAAAATACTCTGTGTTCGAGAGACCCACAAGCAAGATGTTTCCTCCACTGAACAGAGATACAAACTGAGGCCTTGGTGGGTGAGTGAAGTGGCTGATGGGCACACCAAAAACTAGTTTCCTGTACTGCAATTATGTTAAACAAGTGTTAAAATGACTAAAAATTTTAATATAAAACTTGGAAAATTATTGAATAGTACAACCTTCTTGATATTTACTCCAATTTTAAAGAATGTAAGCCCTAGAACCGATTTCTGTATTGGCGGACTAATCTTCCAGCTGGTGAGCAAGCCAAAGCATGTCAAAACATTTTCGTAAGAATTTCGTTAACCAAATTTTTGTTCGTTAACCGAAATGAAGATTCTTATGGAAGGTAATTCGTTAACCGAAATTTCGTTAACCGAGGGACCACTGTAGTATACTGTACAGTACAATACAGTACTGTATTTAGTTTATATTTAATGTTTTGTTAATTCTATTACTGGTATACAGTACTTTGTATGTATACTTTTTCTGTGAGTTGCAACCAATTACCCAATATCCCATTGAAATAATAGATTCAGTTAAAAAATTTTTTGGTTAACAACCGACTCTGTGGAACCAATTGTGTTCATTAATTGAGGCACTTATAAAACAAAATCCAACATACTGTATATTTGCAAGCACCACAGAATAAAAAAGTAATGGATGATATGGTAAACATTAAAGCACTCTCGCAAACACTCACTTTATATAACCTCTATCTATGCAATGTGTATGCGTTAAATAATCTTAGACCAAAACTCTGATGCCTGTGACAAGTTGTGGTACAGTAGTAAGGGAGTAAGAGCTGGAGAGAGGTAAACATCTGGTACATTTGCTGCTTGTAGATGTCACTATTCTGATGGATGATTCAGAAATAAGTTGCAAATGTTACTGATTCAGTTTGAAGGATTGTGAATAAAGAGAAAGTTTATAAGATATGTATGCAAAAGTAATGGCACAGTAATGTGACAAAGGGAGATGGGGTTAAACATAGCAGATTTATTCTTAAATTTTTTTCCTGGCAGAACCCACAAACCAGACAACAACTCTCATAATAATGTCAGTCTGGGTTGACATGTTACCCCACTGTGGGTCAACCTATCAGTCTGCTCCTCCCACCTTCAAAGGAGGAAGGTCACGTGTAACAGTTGTCCTCTGCAGATAAGAGCTGTGTCTGACCTGTCAATACATGTTGTGTCAAAGTTATGGTTTTGTCTTTTGTTCTGAACAAATTTGTAACTTTCAATTTAGTTCCAGCTGACAAAGACACTAACTCAAGAGAGGTGGAAGAGTATCTAAGCCACCTGGTTAAGGTACAGTATCTAAAAACTGTTTTGCCTTTAAGCATCAGTCTCCCCTCATGAAGGTGAGGAGGTAGGGTGCATGTCACCAACTGGTAAATTATTAGGAATACTTTAGATGCCTCTCACAACACATGAGGAAGATGGTTGACTATCAGCTTATAATGCTGTCTTTGGGGGGAAGTATTCTATCCTGATACCATTTTCAAAATAAGAGGATTCCCCCCCCCCAAAAAAAATGGGGGGGGGAGGGGGGGGGGAGACAAATAAGCCACACAATGGGATGTTTGAATTACTGGGCACCTGGATGGTAAATGGTTTTCAGGGATGGATGCACTATGATGTTTAGTTGTGTGAAAGGACAGCTAATAGTCAGATAGATACCTTTTGGGAATTATTTTGGATGAGAAGCAGATATGGTAACTTCTGGGCCATGTATTGAAAGGGAAATACTGTACTACAATAAAACATCTGTTACACCAGTTAAAGTGAACGAGTGAACAGCGGAGAATCTAACCATCCTGTATAATAGAAGGAAAATGCTTCAAGTGATGAAAAAATAAGGAAAAATAAAAATCTAATCCATACCTGGTAAAATTACTGTTTGTTCTGGCCAATTCTGACTACCAGAGAACTTATTGAGAACAGCCCAGTAAGGAGGTGGTGCCCCATCTTGACCATGAAAAACTTGAGGGTTTCGGTCCTGGCCCTCAGGAAGTGCTGCCAAGCTACTCAAGTTCAAGCCACCAATATCTTTGCTGCTCAGGCTTGGAATGTAAACCTAAAAGAAACAAATGAACTTTATTATCTTATATACCCAGTACACGGGAATCTTATAATATATTTACTGCACATACATTTTACAGCTATTTACTGGTCAAAGCCAATGTCACATTTTCTTGATCTTTAGGATAAGTTTATAAACATTTCACCCCTTATGCAGGTTCTTTCATCGTAAGTCACACTTGTGTCTCCTGCTGTCCACTATAATGGATCAAGCTATAGAAATTCCTCTTTGAAATCTGATAAATGTGAGACTGACTGAACCCATCTTCTCCATGAACATCACTGTAGCCTTTTGCTGTCAGGTACAACAAAGCCATGCCTCCATCTGTGCTGAAGGATTCCAAATTTTTTAATTCTTCTGTTAGCATTTGATTGATAAATATCAGATACTATTATACCATTTCTTGTTGTAACCACAAAAAAGGCTTTCATGAGCTCAGTCCATTCCTTTTGATTCATCAGCTAAGGTAAGATTAACTTTAGCTTACATTTTTTTCCTTATGCTGCTCTCATTCCAAGAACTAAGTAATTCAGACAAAATAATGAATCAGTTTTTCATTACTGTATGTGTTTAATAATCTTTGGTGAACATCACTCATCTGAATAAGGATTGATGCAGATCAATAAGTTACACTAAAACACTAGAGAGCAATAGTTAAACAACACAATAAAACATATATAATATAACCTGCAAGGAGTCCTCTGGCTGAGCTGTGCCACACTGGGGGTCAAATTCCAAGGTCATCCACTGGACAGCCACAGGAAAACTTACTCTGTAAAAGAAGACAAATAAGTACTGTATATAGATTTGTAAATAAATACTCTAAAACACATATTTGAATGGCAATGATAAATAATGTAAGTGAGTTGCCATGATTTTTATGCCACAAAGACAAAACTTCTCAAAATAAGGAAGAGAAACACTAACTACTAAACGTGTCTCCAAAGTGACCATAAAGCAGCATCACTAAGACTCTTGATCAATTTGTTCTTCAGATATTGTATTCCCAATCACAATTCAGATGAAAAGATGGATATTCACAAGAGGAAGAGGTAGACACAGGAGGAAGAAGAGGAGGTGACACAGGAGGAAGAGGAGGAGGTAGACACAGGAGGAAGAGAAAGAGGTAGACACAGGAGGAAGAAGAGGAGGTAGACACAGGAGGAAGAGAAAGAGGTAGACACAGGAGGAAGAGGTAGACACAGGAGGAAGAAGAGGAGGTGACACAGGAGGAAGAGGAGGAGGAGGTGGATTCCCTCACCCAGATATGGGAGAAACTCCTCCTAAATATTGTCCTGTGTTACAAGGAACCATCTGGTGGTGTGCAGTAGCAGGAAATAAAGCTCAAGAAGGTAGTACAGTATTCTTATAAATGACCAAACTGAAGGAGCAGAATCACTAAATCCCATTTTTTGAGAACAAATTAATAAAAAATCCCAAAATATAAAGGGATAAGTGTTGATAGGTACAGTAAGGAGATAATGGAGAGAGTGAGCAGAAGCAGTAAAAGAGAAGGAAACTAAGAATGCCTTCCACCACCCAATAATGACTGAGGCACCAATAAACCTGTACTCTCAACTTTGCCTCAGAGAACAGTTAATAATGAAGGAACTTAGGCATTAGACCTTTCCAACAAATCTTACCGATAATTAGCAACAGCTGCTGGCCTGTATGGGTGCTCACTCTCCACCCAAGCATAATGATGACTTGTGGTGGTATGGCAGTCCTCCATTGTCTCAGGAATGATTGTTTGTTGTGTTACTAAACTGAGATTATTCAGAGCAGCAACATGTGGTAGTATCTCTTGAATCAAGCCGAGGACTGACACTGCACTCTGTAAGATTAGTTTAATAATAACTAGACTAATAAACTACAGTATATTTACATTTCTGAATACAGTATTAGGCACACGCAGGTAAAGGGTTTCTCTATACAAGGATATTGTTAAAATGTTCTCTCTACAGTATTATGTAAATGAAATACAGTGATCCCTAGGTTAACGAACGGTTCGGTTCACGAAATTTCGGTTAACAAATTACTTTCCATAAGAATCTTCAATTCGGTTAACGAACAAAAATTTGATTAACGAAACCCTTACGAACATCACGTTTTGTTGTGAGCATCAGCTGATCAGCTTAAATAATACATAGAAAATCTAAATGGGTGTCTATTTTTCTTCTCAGCACCACAAAACTCTCACTTTTAAGCTTGCCAGCCATTTTAAAGTGAATTACAAACGAAAATTTTCTCTGTGTACTGACGTTGGGACTCAAAAATACGTAATTTGACAAAATTTTGGTACGACTGGGGCAGGTCGTAAGTGCGAGTGGTCGTAAGTCGAGTAGGTCGTAAGTCGGGGAGGAGCTGTACAGACATTTTTAATTTTTTCCTTTACTCATTCCTTTCTTGGGACACATTTTAAACTTTTTGAACAAGTTGAAAGTTAGAAAAAGGCTTGTGGACACTTGCTCAGAGCTCCTTACTGCTTGACAAATTAATACCAACTGATGCCATATAGTCACCAAGTTACTTGGTTACTCAGGGCTAACTAGACTCAGGACCACTGAAGGTTCAATGAATTCAAGTAAAAACCTGTTTTATTTTTCTTATTTTTTCTATATTGCCAGATGATCACAAAAATACTCTATTATACCATATATCAATGACTGTTTTGTACAATATGAAATAAATGTAGTCCCAGAGAAAATAAATGAAAGCCACTTTCTCAATATAAAAAGACCAGAGTGTAAGCATGGAGCACATCATCTGAGTGTGTCATGGCTGTATGTAGTGCCACAACAAGTCCGGTACTGTACTTCACTACAGCTGCTACTTCTGACACCCAGCCAACCTGAGGTGAAGGAACAGTGATGGTGACAACCACCTCATATCACCGCCTCAGGGGTGTACCACACCCACCCAACAACAGATCACAGACAGAATTAAGTACAATCTCTAATTATATTTACTATCTATGAGATTGTGTACAATATAATGTATGGGTATAAGGCCTGAAAATTTTTCTATAATTCAAGACCTTTAGATTTTTTAACTAAGATTTTTTTATAGTAGCAAGTTTTTGAGACCCATAAATGTAAACTCTTTTCCATAAGAACTTAAATTTGATTTGTATAAATTCAATGTGCAGGAAGTTTTTCAAGAAGGCAACTCTTGTATAAATAGAAGGAGTACCTCACATGCATGAAAACAAATTTTATTACAGTCAAAATATAGACTGACCCGAGGATCTGAGGTGGCCACTGGTCCTATGTGAGACAGCACAAGAGGCAGCAGCATGGTCAACAGGGGAGCACTGCCTAACACTTCAACAGCTGTTTCATCTCCCACCCCAAGGCCCATGATCATCAATTCCGTGGCAACACGCACAATGCTTCCAGCCATGGCCAAGGCAGACTTACGAGCTTGTTGCTCGGCTATTTCTCTTGTGCTTCTCTGGCTTTCAGGGTCTTGAGGTGTACTGTAAAATTATTATTGGCATCAAGTGATTTTCAGGAGAAGGTGCAGTGCTGATGGGTGATGCTGACTTATGTGAAGTTAAGAGGTAAACCATACTTGGGGCCTTGTTGCTGAGGGAGAGTACCATAGCAGAACACATGTTTTAAAACAGTATGAATGAATGGATGACAAAGAATGAAGGTAAAATATGTAAGTATTTGCCTTTCTTCCCAGCCACCCCAGATGAAGCAGCAAAAAGTATAAGAAAACGATAAATGACAAGATATGAAAATTATGAATACCAAAGTCAATAATTGTTCAAACACAGATACACGAGAGTACCCCACCACACCCATCTCACTCCTACCACTTATAGTTATCAAAACAAACAAATACACAATCTAATATTTTATGAACAAGAAATACAACTATTCTTTGAACTTACCTATAGTACATGATGTGGGGTATTTGTCCACGTATATGATTTGTTCCATTGACAGACAGACTACAGGCAGAAAATGTAAACGTGGTGCCATCTGGACCCTTAACAGATGCCAGACCGCCATCACCATTACTGGTTCTTCCACCATGGTTGCACAGTCGTATGGCGTACTTTACACTTTCCTGTCAAACAATGTTATCTCACTATAAAATATGCATTAAAAAGAAATGTTAAATTATGGTGAGTTTCTTTCTAATATCTATTAAAACAATAAATTTTCATATATACTCGTACATTTATGGGACACAGCTGCAGAGACAACCAACCTGCACCAAAATATCAAAATATTTGAGAGCCACTTTTTTCTTTTTATTTTTTACTACGTATTTCAGATTTTTCAAACAAGATTCTTCGTACCTTTATTGGAACTGGTCTCTCAAATTTAATTTCAACAATGTCTGCCACAGAGTCATCTGGTCCAAATGTTCCTCTTGCCATCTCCATGACACCCCACCTCTCTAGAGTATGTGAAGGATCTTGTCCACCTCCACCACTCTCATCCATCACCTCAACTTCATAATCATAAGTTCCAACACCTCCATATACACAGACACCGGCAATAACAATACCAGGTCGGTCTGCAGAAAAACATATAGCATCTGGTGAACCATTCCCTGTGTTCCAGGTGCGGCTCTGAGAGGTGCGGGTGAATCTTGAGGGGGTGATGTGAAGAACCCTTCCACCTGCAGGTACTTCTCCCTGGACAAGAGAAATATTATTGAAACACATATAATATATAAGTCCAGGGACTAACAAGTTGAATGCTGAAACCCATATGCAAGGCAGCACATAACATTTACACCTTGGTGTCAGGGAATTAGACAACAGATCATGAATGTGGGCACAGATTGACCAATGAGTGTGCTAAATGAGGTGGATTCAGCTGTGGGAGTACAACATTGCTGGATTAAAAGTTCAGCTGTTGGTAACACTGCCACACAACATTGTTTCTCATACATGATTTGAATTTTTTTAGCACTCATCATGGCTACAATGAAGTAATCTCGGCCAGGCACAACTTATATAGAAAATTGGTCCCTAATTTGTTAACAATGTTTTATCAAACTGACACAAATAGAATGAATCAGTGAGTAGCTTTACAGGACTGGTGGTGGGCTATAAGTAGATACCTGGACGCCTCTAAAACATAACCCCATTGATTTATGTACTTTTATTGAGGTGAGAGCCATGAGGGTCAACACATTGTGGAGGAAAGGTCACCGGTGGACACTGATCTTGTACCTCTGGCATCCATGACCAAACTGGGCTATAATTTGTAGGCCACAGTAACCTTCTGCATTCTTTAAGGAAAGATGATGATGATGATGATATTATCTGAATGTGTACTGTATCTGCTTGTGTTATTCTGAGAGAGTTTACAAAGATCACCTTTCTGAATAGGAAGAAAGAGAACATGAATACTGTACATAATGAGAGAGAGAAAGACTTTAATATATCAGTAATAGAAAGAAGTCCCTTTAATAATTATAAACTAGTACACAATATTGACTGTAAGGTGATCATGTAAATTGTGAAATTATATTTACAGAGAAGAGAAATCCAAAACTACAAACCTCTGCGGAGTTTGTTTCTGCTGACAACTCTGCCACAGTAGCAGCCAACAAGAGGCATGTATTATGTACCAGGGCAGGCAGGGGGGTAACCCTCTCCCCTCTCAGGGCCTGGCGAACACTACCACACGCCACTCCAAGCAGGCGATCTAATACTTCACGAAACGTCCATACAATTCCAACCCCATTATCAACCTGTAATTCAAAATTATTCAGCATGATTTTCATTACTAAATGAGCATTAGTGTATCATCTTTTATGTCTAATTACAATAACAGTAGTTATAACAGACTTTCAATATACTGTACAGTAAAACTTCACGATATCAGACTAACTGAGGGAAGGTTGATCTGATAGATCCATTCATCTGATAAGCCTGATACTAATCTACTGGATATCAGATGGTTATAAAACTCTTGTATATGTTACAAATAATTTGTAACCAACTCACATGTGTTTTATAAGTCATATGCTCCACTAGTAATGGGTATCGGTACAAATCCCCAGGTTGAAGTGTTGAAAGAGCTGCATTGTCAGCTGGTGATGGGCGGTGGGCGACCTCTGCATCAGGGTCAGTTAGTATGGGGCAGGTTGCTCGTAACTTAACAGTAGGAGAGCAGAGAGAGGCCAACACAGCACTAAGGAGGCGATCACTATCGCGGGTCTCATCCATTCCCTGCAGCAGAAAAATATATTCAAACAACGATTTTGTTCAGCACAGAGGACATTGTACTGTACATAAGGGTTCAGAGTAACTGAGGGATATATAACCATACCTTCATGATATCTCAAACTTTACTTAAATCTACACATTATTTAGTATTCACATGCTGTAGGAGATATATATTTGTTTTTAGATATACAGAATGTTGTAGTAAAGGTAAGGCAAAACTCACTTTAGTCACCATATCTCTTGACTGCAGAAGATCACAGAGACAAGCCCACTTGAGCTGACCCGTGGGGTAAAAAGCATGGAAACAAGATACAAATGTCTTGTGACATTCATCTAGCACAGAAACTACCATCCGCATCAATGGTCCGGTATCTGAAATATTAAGAAGAATATTAATGATCATATTACGTCAATGAAGAGAAGCTTTACATTTCATAATAAAGTGATGGGAAAACATCTGCTTTTTTATACAGTAAATTTATATCATCTATGAATACTCTCTGTCTTCAGAAGGTTGACTCAAGCCAGGATTCACAGTGCTGGCTGGAATAGCCATTACAAATTCTTCTAGAACCTGGCAGAAAGCCTCAATGCAAAAATTCTCAAAAGAAATCCCCCAAAATGTCCTAAATAGTGATGACAAAACAGTGGGACAGTCTTCCCACAAGTTTTGCTCAGTCTACACTACTGGTCCTGAACCAATGAAACAGATACCCCGAGGAAGAAATTCTTATTGCTCCTGAAGTGGCTGCATTATCTGTCCTTAGAGTAAACCTATAGTGAGAATGGTTACAGTGTGACTTAATGTCACCAGAATATGGTTAAAACTGATGCAACCACCCCAGGGTACAGCTAAACACACTGGCTCTGTGGCACTCTGATGCACAGAGGCCCGAGGCACCACTGAGTTGGCAGAGGAAATATTTCACACCTAATTCATTTGGCAGCCATAACCGTCTGGGTAAGTACTGTCCAACCCCTTCCTTCCGTAGTACAGTATTATCCTACCATCCCAGGCAGGTTAATCTATCTACTACCTGTGATAATATCTGCCATAAGAGGTCCACTGGAAAAACACACATATTAGACATGAAGCTTAAGTTCAAGATCACATAAGTCTTAAAAAAGAATAATGCAGAATGATTAAGACTACAATGAAAGATCAGTGAAGATACAGTACCTGTACTGTATGTACAGAGTTGGGTCGAAAATATAAAATAAATATTTAGAATATTACCTCTTCCATTACGCATTTTGCCTTTGCGTGATGGATAAAGTGAGGGCATGGGGTCAGACAGCATCTGACGAAGGAGCCCTCGCACATCTGCAACACTTTCTGCTAGGCAGCCTTTTTCACCATTACTTCGTAATGTTCGCACTAAAAAGTTTTACATAATTATTTATTTTGAACAAAAACTATTCCTACCAGTCTTTATGAACATGTTATTATAAATTATGTCACTGGATATGTCATAAATAAAGTAAGTAAATCAATAAATAAATACAAAAAAGAGGGGTTCAATATTTTCTTCTCTTATTCATCAACAACAAGTCAGTGAAACAATATATGACAAGGTAAGGTTTTATATACATATCTTCCTTGACTACTCCAGTACAGTTCACTCAACCAACAACACCCTAACCAAGTGTTGCACACACTGTATACAAGTTACACTCAACCTCTTTTCCTTTTATCTCTCAGCTGTAAACCCTCATCATAATTAAGCAGACTTAACTTTTCAACGCAACAGTTCAGCAAGTTATCTCAAGAGTGATTTACTGTTAGTACACATAAATACAACAACTAACCTGAATTGGGATAAACTTCATTGATGTATATCCTAAGGAGACGCAAACAGGCACAACAGATGTACACAAGTCGCTGAAGATCCAACATGGCCACTGTTGGACTTGCTCCGGTACTTCCTCCATGACTCACTTGCTGCACAAGTCAAAATAAACCGTTAATAAGATGGACTTGATGAGAACACATCAGTGAACTCCTGAGAACCGTGACTCTATACAGCCTAAAATTAATGGATATCTACAGCAACAACTGTTACAGTCTTATTTAAGACAAATTCAGATATGGTAGAAATTAATCGTGTTATTTAAAGTCTACTTCAGATACATACCGGTACAGTATATATATATATATTAAAGTTTAAGAAAATAATGGCAACTTTAGATTGCAACTAAGGGTTTTGAGGAGTAATTTTTCGCCCAATGATTCTGATACTCTCCTTATTTAGGGTAAGGTTTAATGACACAGAAAGTAACACCAGATAAGTAGTCCTATTTCTCACCAACTGTCAATAATAAAGATGAGGGAGACTTTACATGCAAGATAAATCACCATTCACCTGGCTGAACATTCTTAACACAACACAACACAACACAACATAATAATGAAGTAATGGAGACAGTTAGTTGTAACATGAACGTACACACCTGCTGGCCTTTCACTTCATGAATGGATCACCAAAAATTAGCACAAGTTGAGCTTCTGTTGTATTTAGTAAGAGCAGCTTTTCCCTAAGATAGAGACGGAGCTAATTCAGTAGCGGCATATTGTATTGAGGATATAAGTACTGTATGTAGGATTAAAAAAGATTATTTTACAAGTAAATGTCCCATCATGTTAAGTGTTTATAACCTCCATGTCCAGCGACCAGGAACTTGAATATGAAAACAAGAAGGTTTAAGGTATCATGTTTAGAGAATAAAGCCCAAGAAAACACTCCCAAAAGAAGCTGTATGAAAACAACAGATAAACCGACACGCGAGAAGTGAATGGACGTGAAGCAGTTACATACAGTGAGGTCCCCCTTAATGAGTGATATGCTTTCCTGAAAGGTGCTCATTTACTGTACACTCGTTCATCGGGAACTATTTTCCCATATGATCTCGTGTTAATAACTAATGCGCCAGAATTTCTCTCGTGACAATAACAAACGTTATAGCTTACTTCTCCTACACACGACCTCAAAGTAGACCAAGCCCAGCCAAGCAAATCCAGCAATGATTGGAAAACATCCTGAAAAAAAAAGAGAAAAAAATGCATCATCAACTACAGAGTAAACACAAATTTGGTTAACTGATTATTTGGTCCAAATGTATCAACTGTAACCATCAACTAAGATTACAGATAATTTTAAAAGTTAATCACAAGGTGACCCAGGGTACTCATCACCATACTGTACACAACAAACAGCCTTAATTAACAAAAATATAGATAGACTGCAGGACTGAAGAATGAGATCCTGTTTTATGATCAAGAGATAAACAAGAGACCTATAAGATGTACGTACTACAGCCAGACAGATGTTAGAAGCAGGGTCTGCCACTGCTCATAATCATTGTAATGCTAATCAGCTGGGCATATTATCCTTGTGCACAATATACTATTGGACAGGTGTCTCAGGAACCAGTTGGGCTAGTTAGGTGAGAGTTTCAACTGTGCAGTTATTTTACTTGAAGCCCACACTGACCACAGAGGGAAACTCTAGTCCAGTTCTCAGTTTGATCAAAATTTATGTCTTTTCTCAAAGAAGAAAGGAAGGTCTTCTTATATATGTTTACTACACACTGGAAACAAACACAAAATTTAAATAAGGTAATATTACATGTAGGGCCATCCCTCTCAGTGGGATATCCTGTGTTCCCTTAAACCAACATCTAAATTAGGAGTTATTCTTAAGCCCCAGAATGATCACATATCACACACATAGACATTTACAATTCTTTACACAGTGTAAAAGCATTTGCAGCCATATTATATCACCACATCCACTCTACTAGTCTACTCTACCACATATTTCACAGTTTCTGTGATAAAATCTGGCACTTTGCCTTGCTCCTCCTAATACCCAGTCACACACCCCAGCCCTGTCAAACACCCTTAAGTGTGTGTGCACCACAGTTTGAGAACCAATGTTGTAGAATTGTCAAGAGTCTGAAGAAAAATACTTACATTTCTAACACTCATGAAAAAGCCTTTGGAGAGGATTGGAATTGCCTCTGTAGAGTCATGCACAGGTCTGGGAGTGACTGATCCCTCATGTGCCGTAATACGATATAAAAGCTGAGGTATTTGTCCAGCATTAACATCGGTTCCATTATTAGATTTCTTGGACGATTTGAAGTAGAAGATAACTCTGTAAGTGCAAATGTGTTTCAATATCAGACATATTTTATGCTTAAATTTAAATCATCAATATTAAATTTAAGATGAAGTGCTTGGTGTTAAACTACTGTACAATACATGTAATTCTAATATAATAATTAACTCTTCAACCAGACATAACAAATGATGGAAGCCATGAACCTTCTTCCATACCAACTTGTATATGTGTTTTGGCCTCAAACTAATACATCATCTCATTCTTAGATCAAAATGAAACCATCTACTGCCCAATGTTTAATAATATTGATCACATATACAGTAGATAAAATCTGGTAATTCTACATAAATAAATAAATCAAAATAGAATACCAATGGCAACTTATACTAACCATAGGTATTTATCATCACGTAATATATAAGTGAAAAACCTAAACATAAAATTTCATAAGAGTTTGACATTAAAGGGTGTGATACTCACTGGTCTTCTGTGGTGACCATACTCTGTCCTGAAGACCCACAGTCACTGCTTGGTCCACTCACACGACCCCACGCCACATACCACTTATTACCCTTTAAAAGACACACACTTGATAGTTATTACATAAAATGGGTTTGGTGTACAGACAGATATCCACAATTGATATATTGAAATAAAACACAACTTGTTACCCCTTGAAAGACATTCTTCATGGGTACTACATAAAACTGATGAGATCTTGGCACAAACAAATAATGTAGTGAAAGGTGAACACTGTGGGTCCAGATAAAGAAGTAGATCAAGTGTCAGCATTAAAGAGAATGGGAAGACTATGTATGTGGCATCTACTGTACATAACTGAAAACTTATAATAAATAACACTAAAAACAATAGCCTTGGGTGATGGAGGTACTGGATGAGGGAGGGTTAGATATTCAGGTCATAATAGTGTGCACTGATGACTGGTAAGGATAACACCAAGAGGGTTCAGGTAATGTGCTGCTCATGTACTGTGTTAAGTGACACGGGTAAGCCAAATAGACTGACCTGCACAGGGACCGGTTCATCAAAGAGCATGGGAAACTTTTGGCGTGCACCACACTCATACGGCACCTCTTCTGTTTCTGCTAATAACTCTCCGTCAGTCTCCTGGTCTCCTCCTTCAACACCAAGTTCAAATAACTGCAAAGATGAAAAAGATGCCAACACAACTTAGAAATGAAAGAGGAAAGTAATTGGTCTCATAGTTGCTAACCAATTGTGTCCTTTATGTCCGTTAAATCATATTTAATCCCAGCAGCTAGACTATTCCTTATTTTCAACACATTTCTGGACAACTTAACTGTTAAATCTATACTTTTCCAAACTGATCCACTTCCCTTCATAACATATCTTTTAACTAACACTAAGAAAAGAACAATGCACATGTGGTGTAAAAAGTAACGAAGGAGCACTCATGATGTAACAACAGACAAGAAATTATTTTGAAAACTTACAACATAATATCACAATATTTTAGGGTAAGACAGTGGTAGGCTGAGACACGTCTACACATGATAAGAAAGAGGACGTGCGTACTTGGAACAATTTCTATTATATAGTCATTTTAGGAAAACAAGACTGAAAATAAAATCTCAAGTCTTTCATAAAATGTAAGACGTGAGATGATAAATACCTTTATTTTACCCATGTATTCACCCCGTCCTCCAAACAGTCCAAAGCCACCAATGAGGACGTCGGTATCACACATGAACCGTATTGCCTCTATTGAGTGGCCAGAGTATCCCCAACCACCGCCATGACCTGTAAAACAAAAACAACAGTAAATTACCTTAATGTTTGCCAGTTCCCAATGTAACAACAAAATCACAATTAAATATACAAAGTACCAGCAAAGAACCGAGTAGAAACCCACCAGTCAGCCAGAGGTGTAGTGAGGGAGTCTAGTGCTTGGGAACAAATCATAATTTGGTTCCCCCAAAAAAACTACAACTCCACCTGTCTGTTATGATCATACTTGTAACAGTTCACAGACTGTACAATGAAAGCAGGCCAATAGACATGCATTATACAAAAGCAAGCCTATAGAGATGTATTATGAAAGCAGGGTTATGTACACATAATTTATGAAAGAATTTATGGCTTTAATTTTCATTTCTTGAGACTCATTACCCCTTTTCCACGGGATTAGATTGACTGATGGGGACACGAGAGACAGCAACTGCTGAACTTACTTTCGAACCTATTGACGGGTGTGAAGTCTTCTCTGGTATAAACCCGCACTGTAGCAACTGTCTGGGGATCATCCTCTACCACAGTCAATCCATGTTCATGAGCCCAGGTGACAGTATCAATGCATGACAGCATGTGCAGTGCAACCTGTATGGTAAATAGGTACAGAGTGACTTCAAAAGCCAATTAATTAGTGTATCCTATCATAAATGACATCATGTAAGACCTTAACATCACATCACCGACAATTCCGGCACAGAGACCCTTTTGTGATTTTCTTCCATATATGGATAATATTGCACAACCATCATGTATTGCAAACCTCCTAACATTGGTAAGCTCTGCCCTGAGGTGCTTGATGGTCGACTGTCTCTGGTACATCACTCACAAGGTTCTACAGACAACTACAGTAAGTCTTTCACAGTTTAATACACTACATTCAGTAATCATCTGAATTAACCTTTGTTCAAACCAGCTCACATGAATGGACACACAAACACATTCAGAGACCTCAACATTCCCTCCTGTAGCTCGTTTCTTCCACGTACCTGTGCCCGAGAAACTTGGTACTCAGGTAAGATGGGAAGAGATAATTCTGGTGAGAGAAGATCTCTCAGACCATCCTGCAGTCCTCCATTAGTCAGCCTCTGCGCCTCTGCTGCAACTATGTTATAACAATGCACATCTTGACGGCCATTGTCGTAGCTGGTGGTTAAGAGTAAACATGAATACTACTACTAAAGTATTGTATGATGTAAAAGAGCACTCACTAAAAATTTTCAAATTAGCAAAATCATCTACAAACACAGACTTCATTAGCCATTCTAAACAATGTTCTTTTTGATATATTCAAGCACTGAAGAGGTAGCAATATTGTACAGGAACACAAATGATCAAGTGACAGCAAGTTTAATCAACTTCCCTGAGGCTGATGGCACAGGAGGAAGGAAGGGTAATGAATCTATTCATGGGGTTAACAGATTAACTCAGGCAGATATTAAGGGACTTTGTCCAACAACTCAAGGACCTTCTATTACATCTACCGAGTCCAGTACTGCTGTACAGCAGCTATATGGCCAAGGGCAATAGCCATAATAAGCCAAACAAAAAATCATATAATAAATCAGTATAAATAAATAAATACATACAGGTACAAAAATGATTAAGATTACCTCCAGAGCACATTGTAGACAGGATCAAGACAAATGGTATGGCCAGCAAAGCATATCTGATCCTGAGTGGAAAAACTGCGACATTGCCCATCTGAACGACTGATAACCAAACATCTCCAACCCTCTTCCTCCTCCTTTTTTCCTCCAACTGGCAGCAGAACTGAAGTAAATAATACATACTGTACTGCATTTTGGACAATGTTTGTAAGACAATATAAATTATCTGTACAAGGAAAAAGTTGATGCACTTTAATGTGGACACTATACAGTAAGTGCCTGAAGCTGTTAGATCAGGTTAAAGTTGTGGAAAGTGTGATTGAGAAACTGGTAAGGGAGAGAGTGGCCATTACTTAAATATTGTTCGGTCTTATGCCATGAAGAGGGACTACAGAGGCAATATTTATAGAAGGAAGAGAACCTGAGTCTGGTCAATTGTCATCTGGGGAACATTTACTCCATGAACCATTGATGGACCTGATCCAGCAAACATCCTTACTGCACTGGGTTAAAAATATCTCACAATGGCTGTGGTAACCTGTGGATACTTACAACTGAATACTGTGGTTGGTAAAATTGTGGATATATTGTGGTTTTACATATCATACCTACAGTATACAGTATTCAAGTTATTCAACACTTTTAGGTTATTCATTATCCTGATGCAATATTGTACAAAAATAAATAAACTTACCTAAGCAATTACTATTGGCAACAACAGCAGCAGCACTGAGGTTATGAGCATTGATCAGGCTTTGATCAAGCTTTACATAAGTGACATCGGCGGACGCACCAATCCACGTAGCCCGACATCCAAGCCTCGGCCCAATACTTGGCACTAGTCCAGGCACAGAGTACCATGGACAACGGCCTCGACTGCTTCCCTCTCCAGCATCACTTTGAGGAGCACCACGACCAAGCTGACCTTTCTGCAACAAAATTTTAAGAAGGATCTTATATTGTTTGCTACAAATTTCCATAACCTATACAACACAACCACTAACAATCAATGATGTAATACAGTACAGTGTCTATTTTAGTTCCTACCTGAAAATCTCCACAACTGTAGATCTGTCCATTTGATGTTAGAAAAACTGTATGATTACTTCCAGCAGCCACCTGAGTCACACGAACATTGGGAGGTAGACGGATCAAGACCGGAGATCCTCGTGACAGCAGATCCCCGACTCCAAGTTGTCCGTAACTGTTACTGCCCCAGGTGTACGTCTCTCCATTGGCACACAATATCACTATGTAAAACAAAAGACTATCATTTTCTTTTACATGTTACAATATCAATCTGTGCTTGGCAAACAGTTAACTAGAAGGTACAGAACAGATATATATTGCTAACAATATGGTTCACATCATTAAACTAAACAATTGGTGAGGGTGATAAAAGTCAATACCAAAGTTTACAAGTTAAGCAGTGACATGATCTAAGGTAAATATATCTAGAAAAAGCTGATGGTACGAACTTGATTAATTAAACCCCTTTTCCACTTGATGACGAAGAGGAACTCCTAATTAACACAAGAGATGCCTGGAACTCATACACCATAAAGATAACAGAAGAACATTATGCTCTCTCACCAGAGTGATGGAGTCCACAGGTAACTTGAACAACAGGTGAGGTCCCAGATAAGTGGACCCTTGCAGGAGACAACATAGCAATCTTACTGGCATCTCTCTCCTGGTCACTTCCAAGACCATCTTCAGCTACTGTAAAGATGAACTTTTAAATGACTATAAAGTGAAGGGGCTTTAATGTATGTAGTGATCTTATAAGATAAAATATTACCAACAAAAACGATATGGCTAAAATATGATTAAAAAGATTAAGAGATATATTGTAGTACTGTAATGTATGGCTTCACTGGAAACATTGGGCATATGTCCTCTGAAACAAAAATAATGGAAAGATACTGAAATCCCATTTTATACCATAAGTTATATTCCTGGAAAAGCCAACATGTGCTGTGCTGTTCAAGGAAAGAGAAGACAGATTGTCATAGTACAAGAGGTTACACTCCCACCTACATCCAAAGTCTTCCTTTTGATGATGATTCTGTACTGAAGTAAGTTTCCATGTATACAATAATACAAACGTGCCCATGGCAGCAATATACTGTACTCAATTAAGTTCTGTTAAACAGAAAAAAATAAGATCAGTGATGAGGAAGAAGGAAGTGAGTTAAGAAACAACAGTTACCAAGAAATAATATTTGGAATATCAGAGGAAAAAATCCATTAATCCCAGATTTTTGTAAAAGAGATTATAACAGATTGGGAAACAAGACGAAGGGAGAAGATTTGGCCTGAATTAGGTATAGACAACATGACCTCACCAGGAGTGACTGCAGACACAGAGACTAACCTGCTCTTATCAGGTGACTTGATATGCAACCATCATCAATATTTTATGGCCATTTTCCATGTTTGTGTGAGTTAGCCAAGATTACTTGATAGCAGCTCTCCATGCTGCACAGTCTTTTGCAGTCTCAATGTTTGGTTCTTAACTCTAATATAATTTCTTATACACTCTCTATTTTATTCATTTTATTCTTGGCCTCCCCCCCTCCCCCACACACACATTTAGACTCAAGCCTTTCTTGAACCAACTGTCTCCTCCATTCTCTCCTCATGCCCAAACCATCTCAGTCTGCCTCTATGGAAAACTTCACCAATACAGTACTCTCAGCCACCCTCTTAGCTCTGAACAAAGATTCCTATATTTCAGTGTCATAGTGCACATCCACCTCACCATTCTCATTTCAGTTCACTCAAGTCTGTGTATATCAGTCTCTTTAACTGCCCATGTTTCACCACACTTTTCATGCCAATTGCACACATCTTCCCTTTTAAATGGAGAGGAGGTCCTCTTGCCACCAATAAAGGAAGCAATTCCATAAGTTTCCTCTGTGTGTGTGTGTGTGTGTGTGTGTGTGTGTGTGTGTGTGTGTGTGTGTGTGTGTGTGTGTGTGTGTGTGTGTGTGTGGACAGTAGTGTTAGTAATTTAATGGAATGTTGCAGGAAAGTCTAAAATGAAGATGTACACAGTCTCATCATACCCTCCACTGTCTTTGTTTAGCTCTCCTGGCATGCAGGTTGTGTTTTGCAACAGTATTGTGAAGTTTATTGTCAAATATCTTAGCAAATGTTAAGCATCATGCCTCCTATGCATGTTTTAAGTGACAAGGATGTATCGGAGACAGAGAAGCAGCATGCAAGTTTTAACCTTGATGATATCTGTCAAATGGATGCTGGTGAACGTGCAGTTTATCACAGGTATAAAGCAAAATACAATACGTGAAGTGGCGACAACAGGAACGCATCTTAAGCCTTATTCCATTTTTTTTGTTTACGTTGTTTCAATATTCATCATATTTTTCACGAATGCATCCCGACGTTGACCAGGGTACCACTGTATACATTATAGTAAAGTATTATGTGTGTATTAATCATGATTCTGATGTAGTCCTCAAAAAACAATATCTGTAGCTTTTTATTGTAATGGAGGGGAAACTATACTGACAGCTAAGTATCTCTCTCTGGCTTCTCAGTTAGTGTGTCCATTGTCTCTCACGAGTGGTGCCTGAGTAGTAGTGGCCCTACCTACCAGTGTCAAACCTTCCCTGGAGCAGATCTAAAGGGGCAACAGTGAGAGTGAGTCACATATAAGGGAGAAGAAGAGGCCAAAAAATGACGTGGTATATCCTTCAGTAGTAAAAGAATAAGAAAAGGTAGAGAGAGAGAGAGGGAGGGAGGGAGGGAGGGAGGAGACAGCCAATCATCCCATAACAAATGTCATACAGTATTAAGAGTAATTTAATTTTAAGGGGGGTTAAAATTAAGCTGGCCATTGGATGGTTACAGCTACTAGTATAAACAAAATGTCAATCACTTGGGGAATATTGTTCTAAAGGACATAATTTAATTTTAATGTTTTAGAATTGATTAAAAGAGACTAACCAACACATCAAAATAATTTTGGAACAGGAAGGAAATTAATCAGGTCACAGTTTTATCACCTGAATTTTTTTTTTATTAAATCACCCATCAAAAATACCTTAGAGTGCAAATTAATTACTGTACATGCTCGTGAATAAGTCGATCTCACGTACAGGTCGACCCCAAACATTGGTAAAAAAAATCCTTAGTTTTTTATATATATCTTGTATATTCGTAGTACACAGTGTAAGCAGACCCAAGTACTTGAGGTCATAACTTAGGCAAGGAAGTGATGCTTTTATGGTGCTAAGACATATTTCTCCACACCTTTTTTAGTACACAACATCCCCCCAAAATTAATTTAAAACAAGCTACTGTATTATCAGTAATTACAATTTCCTGATGTTATAGTCATATTACCACACTACAGTATTACATTACATCCACTGTAATTACAATATATTCCAGTACCACATCCCATATTACATCTGATAAAGATATTTGGCATGAGAATTACCAAGATACTGTACTGAGACAGATCACCCATCAGTTATGAATACCTTCAGCAGCAGGACACTATCATAACAACAGTGTTGCCAGGTGGATCTTGACTCCCCACTTTTTGTATAAATGTTTGGTCGTCAAAACTCGACTTATACACAAGTATATACAGTAATGTATTCATCCCTCATCTTTAAACATATTTCAACTTCCAACAAATAGTACTGTACATGCAAAGGATAGCTCACAAATGGTGTACTGTAGTGAGCAATAACATCATTATAAGTTTTGTTTTTTACATTATACAGTACAGTACAATATAGCTTAAAAGAAAAAAGTAAATATTAGCAAAATGTGTACATTTAAAAAAATTTCATGTGCAAAAATTAAAATGACCAAGTAAAGTGTTTCAGCTTCATGATCATTAACACAAAAAAATATAAACAACAGAAAAAAGACTGAGACTCGTCCTCCCAGTGTTTAGATACATTGTGAAACTAAACATAGAAGCAGCAAAACAAACCTAGGATGTTACTGGTAGCAAGAGGATCAAGGGCAGCAGGAGCAGCTATGCCAGCAGGATCAGGACTTGCAGCAGCAGGGGCACGACTACCAGTACCAGCCATAGCAGCACCACCACCCGCAGGGTTGGAAGAGGGGGCTAGGAGGCGCAGCAACCGAGCCTCAAACTGGCCCAGGTTACCAGTGTGACCATCCATGGCTGAGGCTTGGCCACCCAGCCCTGTTAATACACCAGCAGGAATGCTACTCTGGCCATATACGGTACTGTTTTTCCGAGGACTTGCTACATAGGCCTCACATTCACTACTCAGTTATAATTATGTTTTTAATGAAATATTGTAATTTTAGTAATTTTCTCCTAAACATTAAATGAGTTGTTGGCACAGTATTTCCAGTCTCCAAAGGTTTACATAACATATAAGTCTTCTCCCAAAGATAAATTAAGAGAGAACACTGGTCCTCAAAATGCAACATAAATAAAAGTGTCATCTCAGCAATAGCATTTTATAGGTAACAGGCAAATGTAAAGCAAGGCAAGTCATGCTGTGATGTGAAGCATCAGGTTTTATAACACTTAAAAAGGCATCAAACTTCATTCAAGTGTTTTCTGATTTTCTTTACACAGCAATTAAAGCTACATAAATATTCCAGGTGCAACACACAGGCAATATTACTGTATTTAGGAGAGAAAGAGAACCTCAGATCAATTAAATCCATATAAGTATTGCAGTCTTTATTGACAAGATTTATACGAGGACTTATTTAAGTACAGTCATTAAAGTGTGGTGAAAATATTGAGTGGTAAGATCTGTAAATTTGATGACCAGATGTAAGAAAAATGAAGGACAAATAAAATCCCATTTTATGACCAAAAGGAAGAAACAAGTTTTCTACTAGATCATACCTCCTACTGAACCCTATGACAGCTTTTACTACAGGGCCTCGAGATGTTTTACGGCAGAATACACTTTACAGAACGAGAACATGGATAAGTTTCTTGCCGTGAGCAGCCATCGCACCGAGCCACACCAGGGGCAAGGATTTGTTCTCCATTTGATTGTGTGGATGTCTCAAGAATCAGTGAAGCTTCAGGTCATCTTGTCAGAATCAATGCACTAGATTAAAGCATTCTGAACCCTCTTTGGCTGTAAGAGACTGTTTATGTGCCTGTGTCCTCAGTTCCTGCCAATTTTAAACAACAAGACTCATGAAGATTAATTTTGCTTTGAGGTGCTCACAGCTGCAGACGATATGCCAGATGACACCACTTTCCACTTCTTCATCCTATCTGTTCATCTCTCAACAGGTCAACTCAAGTTAATAAGCATATAAGAACAAGTGTTGTCTAATGGTAGACCATGCTGCCATATGGCATCATGGAAATTGTGACCAAGTTCTAGGTTGCTGATCTGACTTTCTGCCTCATTTACACACAATTGCAGGGTCTCAATTGTTTCTCTTACATTGACAACACAGCATACATACAGTGGTCCCTCAGTTAATGAACACAATTCGTTCTACAGAGTCGTTCGTTAACCAAAAATTTCGTTAACCGAATCTATTATTTCAATGGGATATTGGGTAATTGATTCCAACTCACAGAAAAAGTATACATACAAAGTACTGTATACTGGTAATAGAATTAACAAAACATTAAATATAAACTAAATACAGCTCCTCCCCGACCTACGACCTACTTGACTTACGACCACCCGCACTTACGACCTGCCTCAGTCGTACCAAAATTTTGTCAAATTACGTATTTTCGAGTCTCAACGTCAGTACAGACAAAATTTTCGTTTGTAATTCACTTTAAAATGGCTGGCAAGCTTAAAAGTGAGAGTTTTGTGGTGCTGAGAAGAAAGAGACACCCATTTTAGATATTCTATGTATTATTTTAAGCATTTTTGACTTACAACCTGGATTTGGGTCCCTAATCCCGTCGTAAGTCGGGAAGGAGCTGTACAGTACTGTACTGTACAGTATACTGTATAATAATAAATAAAAAACAATAGAATACAGTACAGTGGTCCCTCGGTTAATGAACACAATTCGTTCTGGAGGGTCGTTCGTTGACCAAAAATTTCTTTTACCGAAACCATTGTTTCAATGGGATATTGGGTAATTGGTTCCAGCTCACCGAAAAGTACATACAAAGTAAAAAAAAATGCAGGTAAGTACACTTACTTTGAGGTGTGTATGTAGAAGGTTCCTGGTTGATGATGAAAATAATGGGAATTAGAAGTGGGGTGGAGGAGAAGGGAGAAGAGAAGGAAGTGGGGGTGGAGGAGAAATCACCTTTCAGGGGACCCATACTTGATGCAGTAATTTCACCAATAAAATTTTAAGTTTACTAGGTGTAATTCAAGATTATTTTATTTAAATCAACACTGCACTGCTCTATAAATTATCAATATGTTAACTAAATTTCAGAATGACCAATAATTTTAATGAAAAATGCAAAAATATTCAAGACACCAACAAAATAGATGCTCACTCCACTGTAAACAAAGCCCAACTGACGCCTGGTGGCTGAGTCAAGCTGCTGATGGGCGCACAAAAAACTAGTTCCCTGTACTGCATATATTATCAATATGTTAAGGAAATGTTAAAATGACTAATAATTTTAATATAAAAAATGCAAAAATATTGAAGAGCACAACTTTCTTGATATTTACTCCACTGGAAACGAATGTAAACATAGAACAGATTACTGAATTGGCGAACTGGCCGATCAGCTGATGCGCACAACAAAACATGTTTGTCGTAAGGATTTCGTTAATCGAAGTTTTGTTCATTAATCGAACTGAAAATCCTTATGGGAGCTAATTCAACTGAAATTTCGTTAATCGAACCGTTCATTAACCGAGGGACCACTGTACAGCTTCTCCCCAACTTACGACGGGGTTAGGGACCCAAATCCAGGTCGTGAGTAGAAATGGTCGTAAGTCGAAAATGCTTAAATAATACAGTGACCCCTCCGTTAACGAACTCAATCCGTTCCAGAAGGTCGTTCGTTAACCGAAAAGTTCGTTAACCGAAACCATTGTTTCAATGGGTTTTTGGGTAATTGGTTCCAGCTCACCGAAAATTTCCTAAATTCAACAAAAATGGTAGAAAAGTTCACTTACTTTGAGGTGTGTATGTAGAAGGCTCCTGGATGATGATGATGATGATGGGATTTAGAATGGGGGTGGAGGAGAAGGAAGAAGAGAAGGCACTGGGGTGGAAGAGAAGTCACCCCATGGCACCATTTCACCCATAAAATTTTAGCTCTCTTGGTGTAATTCAAGATTATTTTCTTTAAATCAACACTGCACTGCATTATATATTGTCAATATGTAAAATATATTTCAAAATGACCAATAATTTGCTTGGAAACACAGAAAAAAAGCGTTTAGTTGAAGAGAGTCTCAAGCAAGATGTTACCTCCAGTGAAAACAGAGAGAGACTAACTCCTGTTTGCTGTGTTAAGAGGCTGGATGCCGCGCATTAAACTAGTCACTTTACCTTCAATTATGTTCAATAATTGTTAAAATTAAAAATTGAATATTAAACTAAAAATTGAATAGTATAAACTTCTTGATATTTACTAAAATAGTAAGGAATTTAAGCCCTAGAACCGATTAATGTATTGGCGGACTGATACTAAAGCTGGTTGCCCGGTCAGTGCAAGCGAAAACATGTTGAGGTCGGTTCGTAAGAACTTCGTTAACCGAATTTTTTTTTCGTTAACCGAATTGAAGATCCTTATGGAAGGCAGTTCGTTAATCGAAATTACGTTAACCGAGGTGTTCGTTAAACGAGGGGTCACTGTATAGAGAAAATCTAAAATGGGTCTCTTTTTTTTCCCAGCACCACAAAACTCTCACTTTTAAGCTTGCCAGCCATTTTAAAGTGAATTACAAACGAAAATTTTGTCAGTACACAGCGCAATCAGTGACGATGAGACTCGAAAATACGTAATTTGACAAAATTTTGGTACGACTGAGGCAGGTTGTAAGTGCGGGTGGTCGTAAGTGCGGGTGGTCGTAAGTGCGGGTGGTCGTAGGTCGGGGAGGAGCTGTATATCGTTTCTCACTACAGTATTGATCTTTTTTTTAATTTTTGTATTTCTTTATGGTTCTTTATTATTATTATCAGTGTTATTATTATTATTATAATTAAAAATTTTAATTTTGTATTTTTTATTATAAATTTTATTTACTATGAACTAATTATCATTATGATTGTTATTATTATTACATTTTTGCCCCCAGGCCCCGATGTGGGTCAGTGACCTGTGCCCGGGTGGGCTAATCTCCGTAAAAAAAATATTAATAATACTAACAAGAAAGCATAATACTACCGCATCTTCTGTTCCATATACAACTTTACAATAACTACAGAAAATGTGGACTACAGTATCTGGATACTTTATAGACTTGCAATGCATCTTGGAGTGTGACCGACACTGTTAACATTGTCCGCTACTGCTCATTGGACGAATGTAATAATAGCACTCAGTGAGTATTTAGAGAGGAAATATAAAAAAATAACTACAGTATTCTTCCTGCAGCAACACATATATATGTACTGTACCTAGAGTGAGTTTAGTAAAGACGAAACTCATGAAATCACAAAATCGGCGACGAAATACGAGGTTGAAAACATAATGAAGGTGATAGTCCCACTGTTTACTAGAGCAGATGATGTAAGTGTACCATACTGTGGAACTTTCTGTACTTTATGCCACATTCTGTAATAATTTATGCCATTGCCTCAATTCCTTTGAGTGGTTGGTGTTCATAAACACCTCCCAGTTCTTACTGGACAAGATGGCTCTTTTGGACACCCTTGGCCTTCATGTTCATTTTTCTGTTTATTTGTTTCATTTTGGTTAGTGTTGCCAGTTTCCTTTGTCGAGCTAAGTATTATAGTTGTTGCCTCCCTCTTATTCCTACAAGGTTTCTTCCCATGCTTTACAGTCACGTAAAATCAGTCATTCCAGAAGGAGATGGCCGGACGTTCACAGCCTTTGGTTGAAATGTTCACCGAGGCAAAGCCGGATGTTGACCAAGGAAGAAGGAAAATACTTGTCTATCTTAATGTTAACACTGACATCCTGGTAAGACCAACTAACATATCCGTGAAGTGTCCAGTGCGGTCAACACATTGCTTCTTTTTACAAGGAAAGACAAATAATGGAGAGCCAATAAGATGTAATCATCCTATGAGAGCCACTCAAGAACTGAAGACGGACTGTAAGTGGGGGTTCATTCCGAATTGTCCAGGCAGGGTCAGATATGCTCTGGTTCATACGTGGTGGAGCTGCTCACCAGAAAGCAGTGAGTACTTCTCAGGTGGTTAAAGCTCCAAATGTGTCTTCAGTTCCTCAGAACAAGTTATGTGTCAAGACCTCTTGTATGAGGATAAAAGTTAATTCATGGTCTTAACAGATTAATCCAAGCTCAAGTTGGGAGGCCCTGTCTACAGGCTGAAGGACCAACAGTAAGTCACTGAACCAAGTAGAGGGTAACTAATAAATAACTGCTGAGGAATAAATGTGTTGAACATACCACGGAAGGAGTGCGGTACCATTATTAATGAGAGAATTGTACAGAAGTCAAAACAGAAAATTGATTAAGGTAAGAGTGCTGTAGTGTCAGTTCATAGTACAAAAAGGATGTGTGGATCAAGTGTTTGTATAATTGGAACGTTTCTGTAAGAGAATAAATGTTTTATGGCATTTTCGATCTATAAAAAGATATGATAATTACTTGAAGTGAATGAAAAATTGTAGAATGTACAATGACTGTTAAGGAGAAAGTGATTCTTTGTGAAAACAGGACTACAGTATGTCACGAGTACAGTACTGTACAGTATTGCCATAATTGTTCTGCATTTTCATGGATGGGGTGATAAGAGGGGTGAAGAAAGAGTTATGGCAAAAGTTACAAGATTGATAAATACTGAAAGCATTGACAAATGAAAAATGAGTCAGCTGCTGTTTACAGATGATCTTGCTCGAGTGATGATTCGGAAAAATCATAAATTTTATGGAATAGGTTTGGAAGAGTTAGTTACAGTAGAAGAAAATGAATAGTTAATATGGACAAAAGTGAAGTTATTGAAATAAGCAGAGAAAGAAGACGGGGAGATGAGAAGGAATATTGAGAATATTGGTGAGGCTTTGTGTGGAAGTACTTGCAATAATATCTTTAATTTTTCATTATTCTTCATATTTACAGGTTTTCTGAAACTCTAGGATAACTGATTTCTGGATTTCCAAGATGCCAATGTATAGCAATGAATCTATTTAAACTCTGATCATAACCGAGTCCCTAAAAAAAGTTTGTAGTGATATCTCCGTTAGCCGGAACAATTGGTGCAGAGGACTTCCGGGAATGAGAGATTTCCGGGTAACGAGACGAATCTCTCAAAGCCGGAAAAAAATCCCTCATCCCCGGAATTTTCCGGAAATTTCCGGGTAACAGAAAATTTTTCTCGGAATTTCCAGAAAATGTGCTTGATTTTCATTTCTCAAACCCGGAAAAAACTCCCCCATTCCCGGAATTTTCCGGAAAATGTGCCCCTCGGAAAATCGTTCCCAAAGCCAGAATTTTCCGGAAAATTCCGGCTTTGGAAACAATTTTCCGAGAAAATTTCAATTCCGGCTATTGGAGAGTTACGGGTTTGAGGGATTACGGCTAACGGAGATATTACTTAGGGTAAAACATGATACTGTACGCCCATGTTCAAAATTTCTCACTTACACTTTTTCGAGACTGATATATAATTACACAGACAACAAGTTATATAGTAGACCAACAAGGACACGGAGAGAAGCTGTAAGAAACGACCTCGGAGATCACGGAGAACTACCGTCAGATTATCACAACCGAGGAAAATGGCTGATGATGATGATGGAGTAGAGTACAGTAGTAGGTTACATACCTTTCCTGATGAGGGTTGGCGTATACCTGGGGTGCCTGTAACGTGGTCGACAGCGCCTCTCATCAAGTCTCCTCTGTAGCTGATCCTGTAATCGTCCACAAGCTCTCCCAAAGATATTTCCTGTTGCATATAATGTTTATTTAGAAATCATGTTAAGAGTCTGAAGATCAATGCTCATAATACCACAAATAACTGAGCAATAATGGTGGTAAAAATGAACCACTTTGCACAGAGGCAGCAATGCAAGTTTATGGAAAGATGCAGCCATATGCATGTAAACGATTAGCATTGATGGGAAAGGAAATCAAAATAAACACCAGGTGTCAATGCATCTCTGAGGGTTAACATGTACAAGTAAAGGAGTACTGAAGTAAAGATATGTACAGTCCCCTTCACAAGTGCATTTACAGGGGCTTCTCATATAAACATTCCACAAATCATCACATTGAGATATAGGTTTTAATATTGTTTTACTTTGATTCCATAGTATGTTTATGATTGCGAGTTTCCTTGTGTCGAATGTAAACAAACACAGGGCTGCCACACTGCACAAAATCTGACAAGCCCTGTTAATGCACAAGTGAAGACGTGTTCACATCTAACAACAAATACATTGAGTCATGTGTACCCAACTTCTTACCTCCAAGATTTCCCACTTCTGAGAATCCAAAGAGGCCAGAGTGTTGCCCCTGCATAAGGGAGAAGGGATCTTGATCACTATCCCCTTCAATCTCATCTGCACAGGACCGACAACAGCCACACTCAGCACAGCCAGAGTCACCAGACCCACACCCACATGGTCTGAAAACAACTTCTCTTTAAAAAGCTATATACAGTACAGTATTGTAAACTGATCCCAGAGACCTCATCTTATAGTTTAGTCTTGATGAGGTAACTCATTTATAACCACATGGGTCAAGGTCTGGTAGTGTACAAGTTACCTCAAATGTTTATTTTAATTTGACTAGAATTAATTTCAAAAGTTATGTGAACACAATTATCTTACAATATTTTATTAATACAGATCTATATAAGTAAAGATAATCAAGGTACTGTGTTGGGATATTTATTTAATCCAACAATAATTATTCATAAACTCTATATCTGCATCAAATGTTATGACTCACTAGAAGCTTCTGGAACATCCTTAAACCCATTTAATTTGCTTTTAGGGAACTCTCAACTTCTAAATACTGTAGACTGTATTTTGTTTTCATTTAAAGTATGCACAGAATGTTGTCTTTATTTTGTTCGTTAAGTGAAACAAACAATCAACTCTAAATACCGACCACACGGGCAGCTAGAGTACACAGGTCCTCAGCCTGAGATGGACTAACTAACAGTACTTCTACCATCCAGGTCTGTGTCAGTGTTTCTCCTCATGGTCACAGTTTGGTCAAGTCGGTGTACAGTACAGTATCAAGTTGTTCCTAAGAGTGACACGTCTCTACAGTAGTTCACAACACCACAACTCACACTGTATAGAACAGAGCTTGTGTATTTATAATATCAGTGACAAATTACTTAAAATCTTTAGAAACAGCAATGGTGTGTCAATCAAGTGTTTCAATAAAAATAAATGCATTTTTTTTAATTAAATCCTAAAACTATGAAATACTAATACAGTACCGTATGTCTTTAATAATAATGGATATACAATACACATTAATTTCTTAACTATTATAATTACAGCTGCATAAATATGAGCAAATTCTGTAAAAGTCTGTCGAATGTTATGAATTAATCTTGTAAATATTTAACTATACCAGTAATAAGTGAAGGATCAAATGGTGTGTAGAGGATGACATTTTAAGAGATCTATAGACAGTTTTGAATACAGTACAGCCAAATGAAAATAATACCAAAAATACTAACTGTCCAGAGTTGCGGTTTGGCCTCCCACTGGAAACACACGCAGCCCCGTAGCCTGTACATTCGTGACATACGGTGCACACAAGACAGTGATCACGAACCCAACGATGACGCCCAGGAGGACACATCCCTCCTTCGCCTCCCTCCTCACTCTCAACACCATCTTCATCCTCTACATCCTCTTCTCCAGCAGGTCCCACTGACATTGACATGCCTGGCAATTCAAAGATCACTTACATCAGGCAGCAAAAGAATAAAAAAGTAAATAAAAAATAATAAAAACAGAAAATGTGCCAATTACTCAACAGAATAATCACCGATTAATTTTACTGTGAATAACGAAAAAAATTTAATTGGTAGATAATTTCATATATTCAGTGTACATTACAGTCATCCCTTGGTTATAGCGCATTTGGTTATCACAATTTTCGTTATCACGCCTCCATCAAAATCTGCACACCTGCCGTTATAGCGCATTTTTCAGGCCGAGAATTTGGTTATCACGCATTTGCCTCCAGGTGTAATATTACCCCTTCCTTCACCTACATCTATTGAGGATAAAATCTTTCACCTGCAAATTGAAAAGAATACATTTGCTGTAATCAGACATATCTAGTTGCCATTGGGGTTGCAATTTCAAATTCTGTGTCATTACTAAGGAATAACGAAGTCTCGGGTGCACTCTAAGATTGAGAGAAAACGGAGGACTCAGGCGTTGTGTAGCGAGAGAAAACGGACTCCTATGATGGGGGACTCAAATAAAGAAAGCATAGCTACATGCTTTGTGGACTACAGTATTGAGCGTACCCTTTTCATCACTTTGTAATAAACCTAACCATGCCTATGTGTGTTTCTGACACTTACCATAACATTATCTATATATATTCAGTGGGTCTAAATGGTTGTAAAATGGGAAACTTGGGGTTGGGTCTTGGGTGCCTGGGACCAATTACAATAAATCCCATAGGTTCTGTACTTTTGTTATCGCGTTTTTCGTTATCACGCACTCGGCGGGGTCCCAATTAGGCGTGATAACCAAGGGATGACTGTACTGTAATGCTAGCAAGACTGGCTGTGGAAGAATAAGAGCTGGGAAGAGACTAACACCTGACAGAAGAGTGTGAGGTGCCTTGCAAGCCCTGGTGAGTGGGGAAAAGTTAAGATTCAAATGTTTAAGTTAACTTTGGAGTGTTTGCTCTAACCTCTCTGCGGATATGTGAAGCTGAGTTTACAAAATAGAGATATGAAAGGCTTGGACTAAAAACTTATGGAATTACATGTGAATTTAGAAAACTGGCAGAACAAACTGTGAGGTGAAGATTATATGAGGTGCTTATAAGTCCTAACAAACATGCATAGATTAAAATATTTTACAAGGAAATATGTGTGTTGATTATTTTTCCCTCACTCCCTGCAAGCTTTTCTACCTGGTGGCAAAGGGTGCCACAATAAAGACCATCAAAGCAGTCAGTCAATATCTCTAACTGCTTCACCAGATGTGTTATGGTTTACCCATAACTCCTCTGTCACCTCCGTGGAGAAATACCCCTTAGAATTTTGTACCTCGAATAATGTTTCATTGTAAAACTCATTGTTCTGGGGGACATTATTAAAATCTATTAAACAACAAAGAATTAAAAAAAAAAAATATATATTAATGCGTATATATAAAATAGTTCCAAAGTTCTGCACAAGACTAAACAACATGCAGTTGTGTGCTGTGTGACAAACACTACTCAGGCATTCTCTGCGTGTCTCCATCAGGTTTAAATGCTTCAAGTGCATGTGTGTTTACTCCACTGAGGCACTAACGATTTTTACAATATTTTTGACCCATAATCTCTGATAAAAGGCCACCACATGATAATGTTGGTAACGTGGCAAAGCAGTCATAGAAAAACATTAGTAATTAGTATGGATACAAAAATGGAGGAGTGTGAGCATCAGGTTGATATTGGCAGTAGCCCGAGTTATATTACACCAACCATTAGAACCCTTCTTGAGAACACAGACAAAATAAACACACCATAAAAAATTCATTTAAGGAAGAAGATGGAGAGCCAGCTGGGCCCCAAGCAGGAGCATGTTTGGGGCCACAACAGATGGAGGTCATCTTTATCAAGTTCCTTCCCTATTCAATGGTGACTACATAATTTATTGTTCTTTTTTACATCCATTGTTATTAAAAATTATTCATAAAATTTGTATCATACTTTAACACACAACAATGAAGTCCTTATATCACTCAAAGGTAAGAAATAGCACTGCTGTAAACACATATCTATTGGAACCATATTACAGTATAATGACCTCTAATAGTGTTCCATTTTCCACAAACACACTAAGAGAGCTATAAGAAGTATGTCTGTGTTAAACCTGTATGTATTAAGTCTATCCCAAAAACTACTAAATGCCATTCTTTTCCGTCATGCATGAACAACTGTTCTTTTTCTGAATATCCAACCCACTCCTACCCAGTTCAGTACTTCCTTTACCCAATCTTTCCAGCTCATTCTCAGCCTTCTGCTACCTCTCCATTCATAATTTAACACTTTCTACCGAGCTTTCATTTCCTATTCCTTCATTATGTCCATCCTTCACTTTCATCAGGTCTTCTTATGTTTCCAGTGCTGTCATTTACAACTTAATGCTGCAACTCCTTCTTACATAAAGGATCTATGCTTAACACCCATACAGTAATCATGGTTCCCCTTTATATAATGTCATCTTTGCCTCCGTTGATGCAGTTCTCTCTCAGTGCTCCAACTTCCTTCTTTGCCTAGTTCCTTGATGAATCCAATCATCACTTCCGCCATTCAAGCTAAAGTAGCCAATGAGACATATTGGTTGTTTAAGACTTCTCCTCAATGCTGCTCAAGTTGTCATTATTGTAGTAATTATCCTTTGTTTCTAGTCATTGTGCTTTAGATTAGTTATGAAATTCTGCATTAGGTTTATTACCTACTCTAATATCAGTTTGATCTACTGTTAGGCTCTTCTCGGGCATTTACAGCAAAGCATTGAGTTGTGACAGTTTGACCTGCAATAATTCATACATAAAACTTTTATCAAATTAGGACCTGATTTGAACTAAACTATGATCGCCAACCCTCATATATGAGGACGGTACTCTGATTGATTGATTGATTGATTGATTGACTGATGTTTGACTGTCATATATGACATTTTTTCTAAATAAAGTGAAAAAGTTTTAAAAGTTTAAAAAATATCTTATAAAAAAATTCCCTCCAAAGAGCAAACAACACTTGTATCCCTCAAGTGTCCTTTCAGTCAACCACTGATGTCATGTCACACTTAATGTCTTTAAGTAAAGTGCTTTTTTGAAGCCTTTTTCTTTAATTATATAAAAAATTACTAGAAAAAAGCGACCAAGTGTTAGCAGCGGTGCTGGTGCAAAGTGTAATAAAAGTATTTTAGGTTAAGTGAAAAATCTAAGAAATTCAGGTGCTTTGACAAGGTGATAGGATAGTGAACATTTCATGGGTGTTGGGAATCTATAGTAAAAATAATTCACATGAATGCTGATAAGACTAAGGCAAGTGCTGAAAGTTAGACTTATTTAAGTGCAACTAAAATTTGGCACAGCAGAAGAGCAGTAATGTAAGAGATGGAGAGACTCCTAAGTATCTAGACTGAAAATAAAACCAGAAAAACCTTCATTAAGTACCATTATGATCCAGACAAAAGCCCGGCTTTGTTCAATGACACAAAAACAGATAGAAGTGCAAGTACTCAAACAGAAGGAATTAATGCTTGTTGAGGCTGGTTTGTTAGGTTTAAAAAGCACCATAGCTGTTTAACTTGAACATTACAAGTGAAGCAGTCAGTGCCGATGCAGCAAATGTAGTATCCTATCCAGCAATCATGAAAGAGATAACTGAGGAAGGCAACTACATGCCACAATAATTGTTTAATGGAGACAAAGTCAGTCTGTATAGGAGAAGAATTCCTTCTAGGACATTTATTTTGACAGAGGAAGAGTCTGCATCTGGATTTAAGGCATCAAAGACTGCTTCATATTATTTTTAGGCAGTAATGCTCATGGATACTTAAAGCTTAAACTATTCCTTGAGAATCATTCAAAACCCCTCAGGGCTTTAAGGGGAGTGTTCAAACAATGTCTCCCATTAACCTGGCAAGTGGGTAACTATAACTCTATTATGACTAGTTTCAACAGTGCAGTATATTTGATCAAGTGTGAAGGTTTACTGCACTAAGAACAACACTGGACACAAGGCATTGTTTATCTTGGATAAAGCACCAGGCCGTCCACCTCACCTGGATGACTCATCTCCACATGTTAAAGTTATCTCTCTTCCTCATAACAAGGTGTCCTTGATTCAACCTATGGACCAATTTGTAATAGCTACTTTTAAAGCTCATTGTTTATACCATAACTCTCTCTACTTCTGAGCAAAACGGATAATGCTAAGGAGCCATCAATACAGGAATTTGGGTGTAAATTTAACACTGTAAATGTTGAAGAAAACAATGCATGTTCATAGACATTTGTGGCAGGAATGTCAACCAAATTTCAGGAAGTTTGATCTAAAGATTGACAAATGTGCACATACCCCAGGGTACATAACCGACCTGGGGTACACACACATTCAGGAGGAAAATAACACAGTGCCAGAAATCATCGGAACAAAGGCCTATAGTAACCCAAACCTTCCTATTAAGTCACCAAATTACTGGTAGCTTAGGTTTAGCATATTCCTTCACGGCCCCGGGATTTTCAGAATGATAAACTCAAGGGCTTTAATTAAAACTTTAACTGCAGCATTACTTCCAAAGAGCAGTATCAAGCATTCCCTACTTGCTTTTAACCCAGAGCCTCTCTTCCTTTGTAATGAATGTTCCATGTGGCATTCATTTCAAGCAAAGTCCTGTTTCATGATAGCTGAACATTTATTGAGGTTATTATCTATCTTCCTTGATACTTTCCTTCAGCACAGCAGTGTACTGGGATGCTGCATCAACACCTGAAGCAGCACATACACCTCTCATGATATGTAAATCATGTCGTTTTTTAAGCTTTTCAAATTATCGTTTACTCATTAAAAATGTTTCTGCTTGAGATCTTTCACCCCGTCCAATAAGTAGATCATCAAACAAAACTTGTGCCTGTTACTGAAATATCATGGTATTCATCAGCATGCTGCGTTGGACTTAGTGGTCGGTCAACATACTTGGCGAGCGCTCCACCTTTTCCATTACATCACTTCTGTGGCGAGATACTTTTGCTGCACTTAATGGAGAACAGTACTCAGCGGGTGCTTTGACTCTGTCCTTGTTACATCTTATGGTCGGCACTGTAGATGGAGCAAGGTTTGTTACTCCGGCTACAGTATTTGTGTAAGTTTATCTCCTGCTTCAAATAACTTTATCATATCAAACTCTATTATTGCTCTCCATCATTTTTGGGCATTTTTACTATCAGTTCCACTTTGAGACATTTTTCCATATGTTTTTCTCTTAAACTAAAAGGTGGATTAATGAGATAAGACGTCAAGACAACACAGTGCCACTCGTCACACAGGTAAACAGAGCGTGAATGAAGCCGTGCCACACGTAACTTGAGTAAACAAATCATAAAACAGCTTCAAGTAGACCTTGCTGCTGTTGATGAATTTTGTTACACATTACATTACTGAAAAATTAATGAGAAATATCCTTTTCTAAAACACTGTACCTGACATATGTGACAGCAACCTGTACCACACACTAATTAAAAATGCTTGCCATACACAATGTTACCTATAATAATTAAATAAGGTCCATCATATTATTGTACCTTGTGACAGATACAAGTGGTCCATCAAACATTATATGTCGTGTAAGAATTTAATGTAGCCCACCATACTATGTAGCTACAGTGTGCCCCTTATTGTAAAAAGTGGCCTAGTATGTATATGTAACCTGTAGGAGTCACAAATGGTCATAATTATGCAGTCAATAATAATCACAATTAACCAACAACTCACCTGCTCCTTCCTTAACTTGTGGTATAAAGTCTCTTCCACACTGGCCCTTGTTATTAATCCCAAAGCTGAAGACCTGCCCTTTATTTGTTAAGGCCAGAGCGTGAGCCTTGCCAAGAGACACAGTGCTCACATGAACATCACGCAGGTCTGTCACTAGGCCTGGAAAATTTTTACAGTTAATTAGAAATACAGTACAGTACTGGACTATATAATGTACTGATGAAAGTAAAATGCCTAAGCCTATAATAGTTATCATTTCTATTACATTATTCACTCTTTCCTTCACTTGTACAGACCCTTTACCACCTGACACAGGTCACTGGAATCAAAAGGAAAACTAAATCTCCCACTGTTTGTTGTCATTTATTCTCTATAACTGCTGTAACAAATGTGTTCTGCTATGGTGTTCCCTTCCACAACACAGCCACATAACTCAGACTCAACCATCAGCAGCTAAGTTCAACCTATAAACCACCTGACAGCATACACACATTGCTAACTAGATGTCCCTCTACCCAGTTCCTCCATTACTATGACTTATATATCATCAATAGTGAAATTTGTCACAAAAGACATTACAATAATAAGTTAAGTATCATATTTAATAACCTTACCTGTTGTGCTATCACAGTGTGAAGTATCTTTCCCAAACATATAGAGCTCTCCATCACGGGTCACAAGTGCCGACGTACCATTATTACACGCACCACTCACGACATACTGCCCGTCTAGCTTGATCATCTTTTTGGGCTTCACCGGTTTGGGCTGCCGGCGACCTTTACCTGAAGGTTAACAAAATACAGAAAGATATAAAATAATCCCTGAACAATAATTATGAAATTCAGATTCAAAAACATATAAAAAATATTTATAAATAATTCACAAGAAATTCAAACAAAAACATAAATGTTATGGCATCAGGAGGATCATAGTTTGAACTAACGATTAGTTGTACGTATTATAGCAATTTCAGAGATAACATTTATTAATTTCCATCACATCATAGATGGATGCATCATAATGGTTGCATATACGCACACATGCATTCACCACCGAAGGGTCAAGACGTACCTGGCGCTCCTCTCGGAGCAGCCAGGTCAACTGTTAAGTTGGCCCATACCAACCCCTTCCCCTGAACCCTCCTCCCCACCGGAATATCAACAAGTTCACGCCAGAAGTTACTACTTCATTTAGGAAAGGAATGGAACCAGTGTTAAACAGAGGTGAACAGTGGTGAACAGTGCTTAAGTCAGTGAGAACAACTCAACAGTAACAGTCGCACCCAAGTTAACCTTCCCACAGTGAGGTCCCAGGTACCCAGTGATAATGGCCCGTGAGACCCAACAACCAGCGATGTGTTAATCCGTCTACGATAGGAAGGCCTGGGACCACACCTCACTCATATAACACCGTCTGTGAGGGAATTACTACACCACGTGAGGCCCCGCATAACACCATCTGTGGAATTACTACACCTCGTGAGGCCCCTCATAACACCATCTGTGAGGGAATTACTACACCACGTGAGGCCCCGCATAACACCATCTGTGAGGGAATTACTACACCACGTGAGGCCCCTCATAACACCATCTGTTAGGGAATTACTACACCACTGTGAGGCCCCTCATAACACCATCTGTGAGGGAATTACTACACCACGTGAGGCCCCGCATAACACCATCTGTGAGGGAATTACTACACCATGTGAGGCCCCTCATAACACCATCTGTGAGGGAATTACTACACCACGTGAGGCCCCTCATAACACCATCTGTGAGGGAACTACTACACCACGTGAGGTCCCTCCTTACACCATCTGGGAGGGAGTTACTACACTACGTGTTTGCTGTTCAACACCTACAATAATCTGTATGTTCACTGTATGTTCCTTTACCTTTCTCTAATGAAGGCTTTTGTTCAACCACCAATGTATGTAATAAGTCATTTATGTCCAATGTATATTTTCAGCCTTCGGGCTGCAGAACTTTTTCAATAAACCGTTAATTATTATTATTATTATTATTATTTTACACCAGCCCACAATCGTTAAATCAGCTACGACCTATTGCAATCACCCCAATACCCAGCCTAATCTATGAAAGTTTTGTGTTCAACTGGGCTTATGCTGATATTGCAAGAGCCATAGACCCTCAGCTTTCTCGACTACATATACCGCCATCTGGAGAAACGAAAAACGTCTGTAGCTGTCGCCTTCATTGACTTCACTAAAGCATTCGACCTAGTCGACCACAATTTAATCATCAACAAAGCTATTGACCCCGGGTTTTGAAGAAGTCTTATACCATGGCTTACAGACTTCCTCAGTGACCGACGCCAAGCTGTACGCTTCCAAGGGGCTGTCTCCACCTTTCAGTCACTCACCTGTGGCATCCCCCAAGGCACCAAGATGGGACCACTATGCTTCCTTATGCTTATCAATGATGCCCTAAGAGAAACCTCTGCTCGCTGGAAATATGTCGACGACTCCACCATTGGGATCAGCGTCAACAATTCTGCTCCTAACTATACCGCCCTTCAGGATTTATTGATCAGTCTCCAAGACTGGGCCACCAACAACCACGTCATAATCAACCATACCAGGACCATGGTTATGCACATCAACCTCTCCTCCGACATTGTCCCACCCCCTTCCATTACTTTAGGTCCCAACACACTCCAGGTTGTAGATTCTACTAAGTTCCTCGGCGTCACCATAGACAACAAACTAAATTGGAAACCACACGTCAGTGAAGTTGTCAAATCCTCCATTTTCCGTCTCCACCTCCTTTTCCGACTCAAGTCCCTTGGAGTTCCTGCACCCGAGCTCCTCAGTGTTTACTCAACATTCATACTTCCCAAGCTCACCTATGCCTCCCCTACCTGGTCTTCCTCCCTAAATGCCATACAACGTAAACACCTAGAAAAAGTGCAAAAGAGGGCATACAAGATTATTCTCTCCCCTTCCTACTCCACATATCAAGAAGCGCTCAACACACTGACCCTTTCGACTCTCACTGACCATCACCACGACCTCATTTGCAAATTTGGTAAGAAGCTTCTGCACCATCCTCGATACCGGCTCCTACTACCACCTGAGATCCCTAGCCCGAGAATTGCTGTTCGACACCACAACCGCATCCAGCCCACACGAGCACGAACTGATCGCTATAAGAACAGCCCAGTCCCAACCATTGTAAAAATTATCAATAACTTGTAATAAACCAGTGTATTCACTCCCAGTAAATCCTACTTTTTGCACTGGCACTATGTTGAAATGCCCTGTAGTTTGAGCTTTTCCCCATCTAGTTATTATATATCTTATTTGTATCACTTATGTTACTTGTATATTATTTGTAAATCGAAACCCATTCCCAAATTATGTAACTGTATATTTTCAGCCTTCTGGCTGCTATGCTCTTTCAATAAACCGTTAATTATTATTATTATTATTATTATTATTATTATTATTATTATTATTATTATTATTATTATTTACACACACACTGACACAAAGTACAGTACAGTGATCCCTCGGTTAACGAACGCCTCGGTTAACTAATTACCTTCCATAAGAATCTTCAATTCAGTTAACGAAAAAAAATTTGGTTAAAAAATTTTTTACGAAATCATGTCAACATGTTATCGCTTGCTCACCAGCTGGAATATTAGTCCGCCAATACAGTAATCGGTTCTAGGGCTTAAATTCGTTCCCATTTGAGTAAATATCAAGAGGGTTGTATTATTCAATAATTTTCCAAGTTTTATATTAAAATTTTTAGTCATTTTAACACTTATTTAACATAATTGCAGTACAGGAAACTAGTTTTTGGTGCGCCAATCAGCCACTTGACTCACCCAGCAAGGTGCCAGTTTGTATCTCTGGTCAGTGGAGGTAACATCTTGCTTGTGGCTCTCTTGAATATAAACTATTTTTATGTTTTTACGATACAATTATTGGTCATTCTGAAATGTATTTTACATATGGACAATATACAGTATAGTGCAGTGCAGTGTTGATTTAAAGAAAATAATCTTGAATTACACCTAGTGAACTTAAAATTTTATGGGTGAAATGACGGCATCAAGCATGGGGTGATTTCTCTTCCACCCCCACTTCCTTCTCTTCTCCCTTCTCCTCCACCCCCACTTCTAATTCCCATCATCATCAACCAGGAGCCTTCTACATACACACCTCAAAGTAAGTGTACTTTACTGCATTTATTTTTACTTTGTATGTAATTTTCGGTGAGTTGGAACCAATTACCCAATATCCCATTGAAACAATGGTTTCGGTTAACGAACGACCTTCTGAAACGAATTGTGTTCGTTAACCGAGGGACCACTGTACTAACAAAACATTTTGCTGCACAGTATATTGTTGTTCTTTTCAAATTCATAATATCGATAAAATTAATCCATTCAAAAACATATTCAAAGACTACTGTACTGAACATACTGGCATCTCCATCTTCTCCCCGTCGTGCTGTGCCAACAAAAAATGCAGATCCCTCATCTGAAATGAGTACCGCATGCTGTCCCTCATGTCCAACTGCTAAATGTAAAATGCGCGGTGACTTGGTAATGGTAAGTTCTGGCCACCTTCCACTTGGTATATTACTGGTTGTTGGTCCATTAACACCCGTAGCAACAGTGCCAGCACCAGCAGCAGCAGCAGCAGCACCACCACCACCACCACCACCACCAGCACCACCGCTGCTTACGGCACATCCACCACCGTTTCCACTTCCCGGGACGCTGTTGCCGCCACCACTACTCCCTTGCTTCATTCCAACTGAAGAAGCCTTTCCACTATAATATATCTAAAAAATATAAAGAAACACATCCTACATTAGAATACAAAATGTATAATATGAATAATTCAGGTATAAACTTCTCCATTTCCATCTCAGTCACTGTCCCTTAAGTTGGATAAGATACAGAAGTTATTAATCTCTGAATTACTTACCCTGCCACCAACTGTCCTCACAAGAGTGAACTCCTTCCCAGCAGCGACCATGACAATGTCTTCATCTAGTCCAGCTGACAGTGTAGACTGTTGCTCAGGTCCACCCAGAACCTGTTGGTAATAAATGCAGAACTTTATATAAAAATCAACCAGCTTATGTTGTTGTGTATCAGGAGTACTGTATATCATCAAGAGAAAACAACCCAATAGAGAATCAAATTAAACTTATTCATTTTACCCATTTTTGTTTGTGCTCTGAATGTTGGCACACAAAACCAGGAACCGATACACCCAAAGATGGGTTTTAATTTTTATTTTGTTTTAAGACTCAGACACAATAGTTTAAATTCACACTGAACTTAAACTACTGTACATGTGTATCACTCTTACCTGTATACATTTTATTGCTAAGTTGAGGCTCAGTTCATTCACAAGAGGCATCGGCTTGACCAGAGGATTGTACGTCCTCACCATAAACCCATCCTGAAATAAAACATTTGTACATTATAAACACAACACATGTCTTTTCTTGCTGTAGGTTAATGTGTGCACCTGTGGCAATCTCCTGCAGTAAAGGTTCTCCACTCCATTCTGAACCATGCCAGACAACCCACATCCAAATTATTTGTTTAAATATCAGGACCATAAGATTTCTACAGTTTCCCAATGAAAGACAACATGGAAACCCCTTGGCTCAGTGTGCAAGGGCAAGTTTGACCAGGACGGCTGAGACTATAATGTACATACCATTATAATTCTGGTAAGGGAGAGGGTCACACCTCCCTACGTAGAGTGTGTGTCTGATGATGATGTTCGTGTTTACTTGTTTCATCAATACAGACTACGGAAAAGCATTACAGTATTATACCACGTAGCCTCTTTCCTTAATGTAAGAAGGAAAGATCTTTTAACTACAGACTATGGGACTACTTCACTGACATACAATGTACATACTTCTCTATCAGGAGATATGTGCCCAATGTTAATTCCATCACTGAAAGGCAATCCTCGGGACCATCCTTGAGCAGAACACTGGTACACTTCAGACACCTTCAGCACCTCCCGGTCTATAACGACCAGCTCACCGTTGCTTCCTTCCGGCCGATAAAACACATCACCCTGTGATAATTGGTAAGGAATTATAACCTAGAAGACATCATGCAGATACAATAAAGATGTTACTAAATACTGTTTAAAAATTATTGATTGAATCCTTAGGTATTGTACATACAAAACCTGCATCCTGTCTATACAGTCAGACAAAAATATGACTGGCAAGAGCATATAAATGATATTTTTATATAGTAATAACCATTTGCTCATGAAGAAACTGAAGAAAATCTCAAATTTGTTTTTTCTCAGTAATATTAGCAAAGTTTACTGTGAAAAATGTATGTTATGAGAAAATACACAAGTACTGTATATACACATACACACACAATTATATATAAACATATATATTTTAGAGAAAAGCTCAACTTACATGAGCAAAGCCAAGCCATCCTTTTTGCTTTGGATAAAAGTCTGGTCGATGAATGTACACATGACCTTTCATGGTCCCTCCAAAACCTGAACCAATCTTGAAGAGACCATGAGCATTGTGAATGTACAAGTAATGCCCATCACACGTCATGGTGCTGTCTTCCTTTGATTCTTCACCATCTGGTTAGGAATGAAATGTTGTTAGAGTAAAGCCAGGAAGCAAATGTGAGTAATTTGGTGTTTTGATTTAAAAATTAAATTAGTTTTCCTTCACAATGGCATTCATCTGTAAGTTTCAATACAATGTAGCCAAGTATGTCTGAAGGTACAGTACAAAGGTCTTATTAATTCATATATATATAAAGAAGCTGTTAAAGAGTACAGTTCAGCAAAGGTTGGTGACTATGAGTGAAACAAATGTGTAATACTCAAATGAGACAGAGTGTGAGGAGCAGAATGAACACAGTGAGAAATAAGAATTACAAGAGGAGTAATAAAATAAAATGGTTACAAAATGAATGATGGCCTTCTTAGGTGGCATCAACTCATGGAAGGAAGAAAGAAAGAAAGAAAGAAAGAAAGAAAGAAAGAAAGAAAGAAAGAAAGAAAGAAAGAAAGAAAGAAAGAAAGAAAGAAAGAAAGAAAGAAGGAAGGGTTCTGTCATAAAATATTTCCAATGGACTTCCAGTTGAGAAATCTGCTCTATTCTGTCTACAGGAAAATTATTTTACAAGTGTAGGGAAATACTGTACGTGAGAAAATATGTGGCTGTAGTGAGGAGGTAGGGACTTTCTTTATATGACTTAGCAGAAATATAATACAGAAGTCAATAAAGTTTGAGCCAGACAGACACAAGATATGTTATGGTAAGTCATGAGGTGTTCCAGGCAGCTTGGGTGTGTTCTCTTATTTTATTTGTCACTACATTTTCAAACATAATATATCTGCATGTTTATACAAAATCCATACAAAACCATTTCTATACCTGTCATAATCTTTACAGAAAATTTATCAATCAGAGCAGATTTTGGCACTCCACATGTAAGCCAATCAGGACGAGAAGTTTTACCAAGAAGTACTGCGTGAACACTGCGCTGGAGGAACGTCAAGATCACTGGCACCTGTGAAAAAATACAAAAATGGAAATTATACGAGTTTAACAATCAAGCAAATCAAGATTATCCATAAGACAGTAAAGAGAAAATCTTCTCAAATTTATAATGCCTAATACTGTACTGTACCAATCACAGTAATAACTACAGTGTACAGTATATATTAGAAAAATGAAGGAAATATCTCAAAAGCCTATTTCCTGATGATGAGTTCAACAACAGCTCATGGCTACAACAGCTCTCTAAAGCCACATAAAAATTACAACTTAATACATTTTAAAAATATAGTACATGGGTAAAATAGCTCCCTGAATGGCTACTTTTCCACCATACCCAGCTAGATCTCCCAATTTCCTCACCATATACAGTACTCTCACAGAGGCTCTCAAGGCCTCATATAGTGCCATGACCATGAACAAGACACTCCTCGACCCCAAACTACACTGTCCACTACACTACCTCACATGGTAACCTGACAAATGCCTTCTCTAAATCTACAAATACAGTGAATCCTCGTATAACATCGCCCCGTTTAACGTTGTTTCGGTACTAAGTCGCTAAACTTTAAGAGACCAAAAATTCGTTTAACGTTCCGGGGATCCAATATTACGTCATTTTGCGTAGTCACGGACTACTTTCTACGGCGCATCACCCGCTCTTGTCTGGCCGCGCTACACTCTCTCAGCTCGGCGCGCTGCCCTCACTCGTGGAACGTCACAGCGTCCCCAAGAGACGCCAAGCCAGTCACTGTTACAACTTCACATCATTCATGTGTGCGTAAGTGCTTTTGCTCTAAAACTGTACTCTAACCATTTGAAATGACTTCTAAGCACCCATCAAGTGCCACTGATGCTAGTGTAGTGAAGAAGCAACGTGAGACCATTACCTTGGTTAAGAAAATGGATGTATTAGCCCATTTGAAAAAGGGGAATGTGCTGTGGACATAGCCGCTGTGCTTGGTCTAACCCCCACAATGGTGGGGGTACTATCCGGACCAACGCTGACAAGATTAAGGCTAGTGCTGGAAGTGGCACTACTCTCAGTGCAACTAAAACAACTTGCTATAGAAGTACTATGATGGAAAAAGTGGAAAAGATGCTGGTATGTGGATGGAGGACCAGAATCAACACAATGCACCTATGAGCATTATGGTTATCCAGCACAAGGCCAGATCCTTGTTTGACGACATGAAGGAAGAAGAGGGTGAAGGATCGAAGGAAGAGACCTTTAAGGCCAGCCGAGGATGGTTTCAATGATTTAAACGGAGGTCTAACTTCCAAAATATGAAGATGACTAGAGAAGCTGCCAGTTCAGATACGGTTGCTGTAGAGGCATTCCTGCCAGAATTCAAATGGATTATCCAGGAAGGAGGCTACTTGTCAAGGCAAGTCTTCAATGTGGATAAGACTGGTCTCTCTTGGAAGAGGATGCCTGAGGACCTGTATCTCCAAGGAGGAGAAAAGAGCGCCAGGTATTAAAGCGGCAAAAGACCGCTTGACGATGCTGCTCAGCGCGAACGCTGCAGCCGACTTCAAGCTGAAGCCTATGCTGATTTCTCGCACTGCTAACCCACGGGCCCTGAAAGGTTACTCTAAAGATCATCTTCCTGTCATTTACAAGGCAAAGAAGAAGGCATGGATAACCAGCGCCATATTTAGCCAATTGTTAAACGTGTACACCGTCCCTGCATTGAAGGAATACTGTGCCAAAGAGAACCTTGACTTCAAAATTCTTCTGATCGTTGACAATGCTCCAGCTCATCCTCCCAATCTCGACGACTTGCATGACAGTGTAAAAGTTGTATTCCTGCCTCCCAACACAACAGAACTGAGGCAGCCTATGGACCAAGGCGTCATCGCAGCATTCAAGGTGTATTATTTATGCCGTACCATGGCCCAGCTGCTCAAGGCTACAGATGGAGAAAATAAACCCACAATCCGAGAATATTGGTGTGGCTTCAACATTCTTCATGCAATTGAACACATTGGCAAGGCATGAGAAGAGGTTTTGGAAAGTTGACTGAATGGTGCGTGGCGTAAATTGTGGCCCGAGTGCATCAACAGTTTTACGGGATTCATGGATTTAGTTCCAGCTGTGAATATGGATATCCTCAGCTTGGCTAGACAGGCAGGCTTTGATGAGCTGGAATCAGAGGATATTGAAGACGTCCTGGCATCCCATACAGAAGAGCTCACCACTGAAGATCTGCAATAAATAACAGAACACAGTCCCCTTGAAGACGACGACGACGAAGAAGAACCTCAACGAACGCTAACTTCCAAGAGGCTGGCAGAATCGTTCAACATGTTCCAGCAAGCAATGCAAATCCTTATAAATGACGACCCAAACAGAGAACGTAGCTCAAAGGTTCAACACAGCATTGAGGACAGTCTTGGTTGTTACACTGAGATCTATAAGGAGAAGACGACTTGCACCAAGCAGTCAACACTGGATTCATTTGTTCGTCGGAGGATGGCAGAAGCAGCTTCTTTACAACAGCTGGCAGCCGAGGAGGATGACATAGCAGCCGAGGAGGAGCAAACAGCGGCGGAGGAACCCCAGTCAGAACAGGAAGAGGAGGAGGCAGCCACAGAGTCTTGGTGACTCCCCACACTCCTCCTCCGCTCCCGCCATACTCCTCCCCTCCTGCCATACTCCTCCTCTGCTATTTTCTATTTTCTATAAAAATGGCAATGATTTTCTGTATGTGTAATGTTTTTCATGAGGTAAAGGTCAGGAACGTAACTCCCGTATTTTATCTATTTCTTATGGGGAAAATTGATCCGCTTAACGTTGTTTCGTTTAATGTCGCGTTTTTAGGAACGTAACCTCGACATTAAGCGAGAACTTACTGTACTGGGTACAAAGTACAGTCCACCCTCCTTCCCTAGACACTTGTTTTACAGTTGCCTGGCCTAAAATATTTTTTCTGCAGTCCACCTACCTGTTATGAACCCAAATTAATTTAATTTATATTCACTCTCTACCTTTATCAACTTCCCAGTCACTCTGTCCATAACTTTCTTAATCTGATCTAACAATTGTAGTTTCCATATTCAAAAGCCTCACTTTTCCCTTGTAAGTATTCACAATCAGCCAGACAGCTGAAGCAATACATTCCATCTTTATGTATTACTTAATTCAGTCATTATCATCGTGCCAGCATCATATAATGCTTTCAAAATTTGTGCAAAAGAGTTAAGAATGTGACAAGAGAGACTGGAAGACACCATACAGCATGGACAGCTGCTATCAGGGTGGAAAATGACCACAAAACGTTGATGATAATGATGAATAATCACTCCATTTAACAAATGCTTTAGTGCAGACATTATCATAGTAAGTGTACAGTACTAACCTGAATACTTTGACTGGCCAGCTGACGAGAGGTCATCAGGATGTCTGCTGTGGCTCTCAGAAATTTTCCTGTTTCACCACGAGCAACTACTAGGGAGAGAAGACAAGCACATGCCACACCAACTAGGGGGGATGACGGACAAGTTAAGACATCTCCATTGCTTGCAGTAGCCAGCCTTAGAAGCAAACTAAACAAAGCATCTGGAAAGAAAAGGATAAATCTAAATTGAAATCATTACTCAAGATTTTCTTTCATAATGTTTCTCTTCTTAAACAGTGTAAATTCCAAATCTTTTCACCCTTTCAATCAATATTACTGTATGCTAATTAGTCAATAAATCCTGAACTTCCTCGAGTCATAATCAGTGTTGCCATACAATTGTGAAAACAACTTCCCCTTCCTTCTCTCTATCTTCTTATCTGCACAACAGTACCTCACTCTAAGGTGATGGCCATGAGAGAAGACCCCCAGGTCTAGAGTTTACACCTACCAATGACCTCTGGAGGTTCACTGCGCAAAGCTTCTGGCTGCTGTCCCTGAAGGATATCTAAGAGGGCCTCAAGAGCACGGATACAGAGAGCAGGATAAGCAGACACTGATCCACGGATTAATTCATAGACGCTCACTAAGCCTAAGCCAACCATCTGTGAAGAGTATTATCTGGTTAGTTTGGTCAAAGACTATTTGTATCATTACATCTTATATTACTTAAACTTTAAAGTGAAGTGAATATTGCAACATGAAAACTATTTATAAAATTCTTAACAAAGGACGTGAAACAAGACTCGGCTAAATTACTTTAAATAGCGTAACTAAAAATTTATCCAAGAAATAATGCACTAAAACTATTTTGCAATAAAATCTTATCATCAGTTACTAGCACTATACTGTACACACTTTTGGGATTTGTATAGCAATTTCTCTCCCTTTGTCTCCTTCATCATCAGTGTCTGAGTCTGAAGGTAGCGGCTGCGTTGTGGCCAGGTACACTCCCTGGGCCTGACGAGCTGCATTTTCAAGCACCAATCCTCGCACGTGGGCGTACACAGCAAATGATGAAGGATTGCCAGGAAGTTCAAGGACTGGCATGAGAGTAGTGCAAGTGTTACTCCCACCGCCAACTTCACCCTATAAACCAAAGACACATTATAACACACAAACACTCACATACAACACAATGAAATATATACTATACTGTACACCTCCAATATTAAGGTGGTAAATCTTGTTCAGGCTAAAAAGAGTTACAATACAGTGTGTGTCTGTAGTGGGGTGAAGGAGGGGAGGAGTCTGAAGGGTCATCTGATACTGTACCCTGTTTCTCCCTTAGTGAGGAGGTGTAGTAATAACATGGTCTGGTTAAATATGATGGGATTGCATCTTTAAAGTAGTAATATAGTAAACACATGGCTTCAAGCATAGACATAATACCTGACTGAGTATACTATATGTACTTACACAGATTAAGATACAAATCATATTACTGCACAACAAACCCATAATGTGAACACTACAATGGAAGATCACAGGTAACAGAACCTTTTGTTGAAATATGACAGATCTATTAATTGTGAAAACAAGAAAAATATTACTGGATAAATTAATATACAGGTAATGTATGCTACAAAATGAACATGAATATTTCCTTCACTTTAACACAAAAAATGATGATTTGACACTGGAAATATGGTACTGCACTGTACACGTACTGTTTTATGACTGACAAGGAAACAAGTGACCAAGATATCTAAAGCAGTAAACATTGTCCAGCAGAGACCGCCTGCTACCACCAGACTTGGCTGGACAGGGTTCAGAAGACTGCCCAAAATACATTTCAAATTTTTCCCTTTTAAATTAATGGAAAAAGCCTTCCTGAATTACCAAATTTTGGTATCTGAAAGTTTTTTAAGAACACAATACTTTTGTATATAGAGGAATCCTGTAATCTAATTGTGTGTATTGTACAATAATATAAATACCCCCTGTACAGTATTTAAAACAATAATTCATACCATCCAAAGACTCCTAAGGTAATTCTCTGAGACAGCAGATGAAGACAAAGCTGCAAAATGGAGGAAGGTACAAGTATTCAAACAACAGCTTCTGATGTTTTCCTGTGACCAATCTGTCTTTGTAACTGATGAAATGTTTTCTTTCTCCAACTCCAGTGATGCCCAACAATACCTGCTTTCTAATTCTACACTTCCAATCTTGTCATCAACCAACTCACTGCTGGATTCTTCACATTTTTCAGTGAAACCTTGTGGAAGTTCCAAGACCGGGTGAGTGCCCGTGACATAACTCACAGCTTTTCTCCTTTGTCGTCTTAAGGGAAGCTGCTCCAGAGATAATGATTTTGATTTCATCATCGGTGAAGGTCTCGGTTTTAACTCGTCTGGTATAACAAAGGAAACTGACTTTGATAATGAACAATCTTTTTTCTGTTCAATTTCATTTGAAGGTTTATAGTCTAGACTGGACACACTGTTTCTACTTCCCAGTATATCAGATAAATTATCTTGTGAAGAAAAGGAGAGAATATTACTTTCATTCAGTATACTGTGGTCCTCTGTCTTGTCAGTTTGGTCATCTAACACAGCAAAAACTCCGTGTTTATCGTCTACATCTGATACTTGTTTACCAGAGTAATCTCCCACAGCCATATTTTTGCAATGGTTATCTTTATCATCATAACTCTTGCATGACCTTAAAGACACATTTGTCAATGATTCATCAAAATTAGAGGAGGAATCGCCGTCCTTGTCTCTGTTGTCTGGACAATCATGATCCTCTTTCACAGTCACTCTCCTCACTGTCTTATGATCAGTAATATTCTCTGGAGACAAAGGTAATGTTTTTGTAGCATAATCTATAAATTCTTGGCTCGTCTCCTCACCACTACCTAATGACGGTGGTGGTCCCGGTGGTAAGACTGCAGGAGATGAGTAATTACATTTTGCCTCTTGGACAACATGTAGCCCTGGATCTGAAGTTGGTTGGTTTCTAATATCCGGGGTTGGTGGAGCCTGGTACATCTGAGGTCTGTCTCCTCCTAGACACACCATGGAGTTTCGTCTATAATGGGGAACATTGACCTCTGCCACCTTATTTACCACGTGGGTTGAAGTGATGTTCCAACATGAGGAATGTCTCCTCTTATTCCAAACACTGGAATAACTGCCAGCAGAAACAACAGACTGAGGTGTCCGAGCAGAATACAAACTTGGACTACGCGGTACTCTTCTCCTTAAGTGCATCTTATTTCAAACTTCTTGATGCAAGTTGGACATCCTTGAATAACGGCGACCAGCTTTCAAATCAACTGAATTAAATCTCTTGATGCTTTCATTGTGCAACACTCCAACCTTATTCAAGTTGCCACACTGTGAAAGGAGTCGGTACATTTCATTGCTCACATTGCAAATGCAATCATCTATTTCCTCATTTTTTTATTTTTTTGAGGCCATTTTGGAAAAGTTTTCCAATTTAACACATCTACAGTTAATAAAACTAGTACTAATTAGCACAAAACCCTTCATTTCTTTCTCAGATTACTGGATACAGCAACAATTATTAGTGCTGTACTGTACACCGCACTCAGACACAGCCGCCTCTAAATTGAATGAGTGTTAAGCCATGAGGCGGGAAAGTTTCTCCTAAATTAACGCAGCAGAGAGTCCCCAGCCCTTACATACATATCTAAATATAGTCAAAAACTTCTGTTGTCGTCAACATTTCTTACAAGGAATGAAAAAATTATATTACTTAACCAAAAAACACAATGAAAACATACTGTATCACGTACACACACACACATAGGAGCAGTAGGTATTTGTTATTCTGATATCATAACTTAACATAACATTGGCGGTTAGTAACAAATAAAACAATATTCTCCAGGTGGGAGCTAGAATTGGACACAACTGCTGGTGGAGGACACAAATATCTTAGTCTCCATCATTTCTTTGTGTTCTATTAAACCAAGGAACTAAATTTACCAAACATATTGGGATCTATATATAAAAAAACTTTGCACAGGAACATTTACACTACAGTACATCTCAATGATGGAACAACAACATGAGAATGTAGAAAAGAACTTAATAATTACTTATAATAATTAAAACTTATTGGTAACAACTAAGAAATCTCCATAACCCCAATAAAAAGTGCTCTACCATTATATATTCTACACTAAAATTAAGTGTTTACTAAATGCGTGCCTTTATTTCTGATTTGTTTTACCAACACACGGGTTAAGAACACTAACATTACACGTATCTTAGTTTACAGTAATAAATATATAAGTTATATACTGAAGGCAAAACTTGCAATTCATAATATCCACAGGAGAAAACTTACCCAGGGTTTTATCCATAAAGGTGGGGGGGGAGGACACAGAGGCTTCCCGCAAACAATATCGCCTTATACCTTTAGTTTTACAAATATAATTGTTAATAAAAAAAAAGAAAAGGAAAAAAATAGAATAGTGAAAAGAGCCATCATCATAAACTACCAACCTTCTCTATTGAAATATATCTTTAATTGCTGCAAATAATAAAACAATGAATTATATCCTTAAAGATCTGTAGGAGGTTCAGTGTGTGTGTGTTGTATATGGTGTGTGTGTTGTATGTGTGATTGTGTCTGCGTTGTATGTGGTGTGTCGTTGTATGTGGTGTGTGCATTGTATGTGATGTGTGTTGAATGAAGTGTGTGTGTTGTATGTGGTGTGTGCATTGTATGTGGAGTGTAGTGTGTGTGTGTGTGTGTGTGTGTGTGTGTGTGTGTGTGTGCGTGTGTGGTGTGTGTGTGTGTTGTATGTGGTGTGTGCATTGTATGTGGTGTGTGGTGTGTGTGTGTGCATGTGTGTGTGTGGTGTGTTGTATGTGGTGTGTGTTGTATGTGGTGTGTGTGGTGTGGTGTGTGTGTGTGTGTGTGTGTGTGTGTGTGTGTGTGTGTGTGTGTTGTATGTGGTAGGTGTGTGTGTGTGTGTGTGCATGTGTGTGTGTGTGTGTGTTGTGTGTGTGTTTGTCTGTGGTGTGTGGTGTGTGTGTGTGTGTGTGTGTGTGTTTGTATGTGTGTGGTGTGTGTGTGTGTAGGTGGTGTGTGTGGGGTGTGTTTGTGTGTGTGTGTGTGTGTGTGTGTGTGTGTGTGTGTGTGTGTGTGTGTGTGTTTGTAGGTTGTATGTGGTGTGTGTGTGTGTGTGTGTGTGTGTGTGTGCGTGTGTGTGTGTGTGTGTGTGGTGTGTGTGTGTGTGTGTGTGTGTGTGTTTGTGGTGTGTGTGTGTGTGTGTGTGTGTGTTGTAGGCATGTGGTGTGTGTGTGTGTGTGTGTTTGTAGGCATGTGGTGTGTGTGTGTGTGTGTGTGTGTGTGTGTGTGTGTGTGTGTGTGTATGTGGTGTGTATGTGGTGTGTGTGTTGTATGTGGTGTGTGTGTTGTGTGTGGTGTGTGTTCTATGTGGTGTGTGTGTGTGTGGTGTTGTATGTGGTGTGTGTTGTATGTGTTTGCGTTGTATAGTGGTGTGTGTGTTGTATGTGGTGTGTGTTCTATGTGGTGTGTGTGTGTGTGTGTGTGTGTGTGTGTGTGTGTGTGTGTGTGTGTGTGTGTGTGTGTGTGTGTGTGTGGTGTGTGTGTGTGTTGTATGTGATGTGTGTGTTGCATGTGGTGTATGTGTGTTGTATACGGTGTGTGTGTTGGTATGTGGTGTGTGTTGTATGTGGTGTGTGTTCAGGCATGATGTGTGGTGTGTGTGTGTGTGTGTGTGTGTGTGTGTGTGTGTGTGTGTGTGTGTGTGTGTGTGTGTGTGTTGTATGTGTGAGTGTGTATGTGTGTGGTGTGTGTGTGGTGTGTGTGTGGTATGTGGTGTGTGTGTTGTATGTGGTGTGTGTGTGTATGTGGTTTGGGGTTGTATGTGGGTTATGTTGTGTATGTGGGTATATGTTGTATGTGATTATGTTGTATGTAATTGTGTGTTGTATATGGTGTGTGTTGTATGTGGTGTGTGTATTTATGCGTGTGTTTTATGTGGTGTGTGTGTATGTGGTTTGCGTTGTATGTGTGTATGTGAATATGTGTTGTGGTGTGTGTTGTATATGGTGTGTGTGTTGTGCGTGTGTTTTATGTGGTGTGTGTGTATTTGTATATGGTTTTGCGTTGTATGTATGGTGTGTGTAGCGTTGTATGTGGTGTGTCGCATTGTATTTAATTGTGTGTTGTATGTGGTGTGTGTGTTGTATGTGGTGTGTGTGTTGTATGTGGTGTGTGTGTTGTATGTGGTGTGTGTGTTGTATGTGGTGTGTGTTGTATGTGGTGTGTGTGTTGTATGTGGTGTGTGTTGTATGTGGTGTGTGTTGTATGTGGTGTGTGTGTGTTGTATGTGGTGTGTGTTGTATGTGGTATTAATGTTGTATGTGGTGTGTGTTGTATGTAGTTAGTGTGTGTTGTATGTAGTGTGTGCGTTGTATGTAATTGTGTGCGTTGTATGTGGTGTGTGTTGTATGTGGTGTGTGTGCTGTATGTGGTGTGTGCTGTATGTGGTGTGTGTGTTGTATGTGGTGTGTGTTGTATGTGGTGTGTGTTGTATGTGGTGTGTGTGTGTTGTATGTGGTGTGTGTGTTGTGTGTGGTGTGTGTTGTATGGTGTGTGTGCTGTATGTGGTGTGTGTGTTGTATGTGGTGTGTGTTGTATGTGGTGTGTGTTGTATGTGATTATTGTGTTGTGTGGTGTGTGTGTGTTGTATGTGGTGTGTGTGTTGTATGTGGTGTGTGTGTTGTATGTGGTGTGTGTGCTGTATGTGGTGTGTGTGTTGTATGTGGTGTGTGTTGTATGGTGTGTTATGTGGTGTGTGTTGTATGTGGTGTGTGTTGTGTGTGGTGTGTGTGTTGTATGTGGTGTGTGTGTGTTGTGTGTGGTGTGTGTGTGTTGT